ATTGCCCAATTATCTAGTCAGTCTAACGCCAGTTAATCTTAATTGACCATTACGTTTTGGAGCACACTTGTACATGGCCGATTGTTCCCTACCTAAATAACGATAGACCATTGGTCAGGTTTCAAGTGTGCCCTGGTAAATGTTTGGTTAAGATGAGGTAATTTTACAGATAATTATGTAATTATTACCAAGTTTATACTACATATTCGGTCAAATAACAAATTCAACACGAAAATAGTTTGAAAAACGATATTTTATGATGTAACAATGTCCAAGCATTCCTCATTCAATACCAAAAAGTTAACCATATCAGTCCTTAAAAAAAAAAGTTGGCATCATAAATAAAAAAAAAGATCAAACCAATATTTCACTAACTTAAAAGTAGACTAAAATTTTAAGCACGTTTGGTTCTCCACAAAAAAACGTGATAAAGGTACTCATTGATTACCGGAACTTAAACATGCAAAAACACTGACATAAATAAATAAACAAAATCATCACACAATGTTACTGGTCTTTACAATTTTATTTCAGTTCTATACCACAACAAGACATCTAAATACAGACGTTCTATAATATCAGATATGAACCCATATTTTTATATTAGTTTCTAACTAAAAGATCACACGTACCAGACCCTGTTGTGAAAATTTACTTTGAGAAATAACTAGAGACTACATGTGTAGCGCTTGATAGTATTTTATAGATATCTGTACATAATATATATTGTAATCGATTGTGATTGGTTCCCTTGAAATGATGCATTTGAATTGTGCAATCAAATATACTTCCTGGAATGATTAATCAATTTTGATACATTTCAGCACATTTCCTTAATTGATTATGTGATAATATCAGTATTACATATCAGGGAGTTGATTTTATGTGATAGGTAACTGAAATAAACAATTGTTTTCTCATGAAAAACAAGTATATAACTTTATTCATACCATATTTTTTTTAATATATTTTCATTGTTCCGAGTTTTAACGAATGAATTATCCTGAAGACTGCGAGAATCTTCCCACATTCTTTTTACTAGTTCCTGCAGTCTTGATGATGCTTTTATCTAGGTCAGAATTTCTTCAATCTTAATACATAGTAGCCACATGTACGAATAAAACAAAACGATATAGTCATTGTAATCACATAGATAAACACCGGAAGTTCAATTCCTAATCCATCCAGTACATCACGTGATGTTATCGTCAAGTTTCCGTTATCAATGCATTGTGGGTAAATACCGACGCTGGTCTCGTAACACCTATGGAAAGGGTGACAATTCAAATTTTAATTATGTAACGAATGTGTGGGAAAAGAGATCATGTAGATGGATTTCTAAATACAAAAAAAAAAACAAACAACATTTTGACCAACAGATGGAGTCGATAACATACATCTGTCGTTCGGAAGTGAGAAAAATACCAGGATTTCAAAATACTCATCTCATCTAAATGCACGTCTCTTTGTACTCATTACAAATAGTTTGTTGGAATAACGACTATTTCATAATAACAAACCAGTAAGTTTTCATCAGCTGATTCAAAGAATTAGATTTAATTATTTCGCATGTTTAAAGAATGTGAAAAATCTATTGCTTTCTTTTTTTAGATAACTCTAATGTATTACCTCATAGGGTCTATGTCCACCAACAGGTACGTCATTGTAGCTGCGGAGGGGTAGTGAAAGAAAGCCAAATATTTACCCCAAACTAGCCATTCTGGAGGATTGACTGTATAAACCCCTCCTACATAAAAGAAATATCGAGTCAATAAGTGTGTGACCTCCACGGCTGGAAATTGATAAGTCAAAAAACAACAAGGAAATACTAACATGTCCAGATAAGTATAATGAAAACTCAAATTCAATAAAACTAGGACAAGATATTGACAAAAGAAAGATTTACAAGGGGGCTGCTGAAGACCAGGTGTTCCGAACGAAGATGTCAACTAAAAACTATCCTCCGTATATTTCCTCTTTGATTTGGACGTATTATTCATGAAATATATCCTTCTTGGAAAAGAAAGTTTCCATAATAAGAGATTGAAAGCATTCTTTCAGTTTAGAATAGGGCATGGTATTGTACGGTGTTGAAAAGTCAAATGTTTTTATAGAAGAATTTATTTAGAATAATGCCCAGGAAAATCATCATAATCCACGATAGTCGCATGGTCGCAGACAGTGGTATTGAGTTTTAGGTTAACCTCTGCAAAAGATTTTGTCAAAGACACAGAAAAAAATACTGCCCAGTTTCATCAAAGTTAGAAGCCAAGAGGATGATTTAGGAAAATCAAATGTGATCAAAAAACTGTCAAAAGATTAATGGGGCGGTCCACTGGCTCCAAGTTTCCTTATATCCGAAGAACGCAAGGTACATGTGTTTATTCTGAACCGTGTCACTGTTAGAATACATTATGTTCAGTAGAGATAAAACATTAATTTGTGAACATCATTCAGCTGTCTGGGTTCCGTAGATGAAGCTGAAAGTCTATATTTTGAAGCCTACAATGCTAGTTAATGATTGCACAAAGGTCCATGAACCATGGAGAACAAAACATTCCTTGATGAAATTTCAACCAAGATATGACATCTATGACACTAAACGACTGTCAATGTGAAAATAACTATCAGTATTATTTTCCTTAATCTTCATTCTGATTCGTACCTAGGTTTAGAGACACATTCAAGCACATGAATACGACGACCGTATTGAAGCGCAGGTCAGAACTACAAAATCCGATCACAAGGGCCACACTCTGGAATAAAACATAAAGAATTGTTAGGGTTCATGCATTAACATGGACGTCTGAAAATAAACAATAATCCCCTATCAGTGTGATACTTATCATTATATCAAATGATGTTTTTCACATTTTCTAATTGTTATTTATAACTACGTTCTACTGTGTGGTATTACCTTTAGATGACGTTCGGATGTTGATATATATGAGATTTGAAGGGAATTGACTACCTGCATCATTAGAGTGTAAAGTATTCCGATACTCAGGAACACAAAATAACCATCCACCTCTCCCAGTCCGACGACCCAGTAGATCATTGTTATCATTAACACAGGACTTATCAGCACAAGTGGTAGTTCACTGGTCATCTTAGACAGGTAGTAGGCGGACAATCGGTAAACTCCTGCTGACCGTTCCTTTCTCACCACACCTCTCTCAGTATCAACTACAACAACACTTGTAATAAGATATATTTATTGCAAAAACATGTGTCAAATCCCATCTTATTCCCCCAAAAAGCCATTGTATACATGGCAATGATTACATTTACAAACACATATAATTCTTTCGCACCAAGCATTCAATGAGCTTGATATTTTTTGTAATCTATTACATTTGTCACTGAGACAGTAGTGTCATATGCCCCAATTTATTGTTAAGTCACTTCAACTATTGCTTCTTAATTCCGTAATCCACTAAGTCGAAAATAAGATGGTGTTTCTACTTTCAATTCTTTTGTATTATCTGTAACATCTTCTAAACTTCCTGTAGTCCATTTTCCAGCTGGGAAACAAAATAATCAAGAGTTTTAATTGTTATAATTTCACAGCAGCAACATTAAGCTTTTTTAGAACGACAATAATTCCTCGTGATATCACGTCTTTATACTTACAATGTCTAACTGTAGTTAAACACGTACTATATCCCAGGAAAACGAAGGTGAAGAACACCTGTTAAGATAAAAAAAGAGTTTTTTTATGAGTTTGCTCAGTTATGATTATGTTTCAACTAATTTTATGCCAAGAAATGCTAACACTGTTGTCATCAACTATGACCATATTATGTCCGTGGAATGTACTTAAAATTTTCACAGAATGTAAGCCAAACTGCAAACGAGAAAAGATGAAACAAGCCAGACAAATCTTGTAAAATTTGTTTCACCACAATAGGTGTGTGTTCCGAAGGCCTAAATTTAGCATTTCAACTGTTGCATATCAGAGATATATCTACGATATGTGCTATTACATTTAATTATGTTTTTACTGGCTGACAAGATGAACTTTGATCGAAATGGCACTTCACGCTTTCACGGAGATTAAAACGCACAAATTCCTTTGAAAATAATAAACCAGTTACATTATAGTTATGAGTACATGGTTTCCATATTTTCTAAAATTGACAGTTATGCATTGTTAGGATACTCCTAAATATTTTGTCACAATGTTTACAATTGTGTTACTATAAGTTTATTGTGGAGGTTACTTAACCGTAACATTTTACTCACATACCTGTTATGCATGTGCTTCAGGTAACTAGGAACTTGTCAGGCCAGTGTGGGCCAGCGTAGGCACCAGGAAGTTCTCAGGTAAGTTGGGAACTTGTGCTTAACATGCACTTACAAAGTATTTTGTGGGAAACCCTAGGTCGGACTGGGCAGTACCAGACAGAACTTAGAAAGTGGAGGTTGTGGAGCTCGTCACCATGAATATTGGGAGTTCTGTCGAGAGGGCCTAATTCCAGGAATTAATATGTTGGGAGTCTAGAACTGGTACCTGTCGATATGACATTTTATTACCTGGGTACTAATGGTGACTGTGTGTCATTCTTCCCATTAGGAAATATTCTATTTGCTTATGCAGTATGAAGTTGGGCATGTTTAATGCTCGAACTTATGTTGTTCTTTGTTCTTATTTGGGAATGTTGCCATATTCTATGATAGTTACTCATTCTGGAACGTAACATTACTGATGGGGATTGACTACGATTAACATGGCCTGTGTAGTGATGAAGCAAAAAACGTTTGCCCTTTTGAAACATCTGGTCTTATTATCCATGTACTTTTGCTATTTGGGAGTATCCGTGTAAATTCCGTTTCTACATATTTTGCCCCAGTTTAATTGAGTTTCAATTAAGATTCTGCTGACATGTGGCATCCTGACATTAATTTACTTTGTTGATTTATATTTACTGTTAAAAGTTACCAATTACTAGTATCAGTATGTTATGTTTCTTGTGAAACACGTGGGTGTGCCATCAGATCTAATATCTAGGTAAACATTTTCTACCTCATCTGACCTCTATCCAGTATCATTACTCAACGCCATGGATATGTTTATAACTACATTAAATTTGTAAATGAAAAATGAATTGTGCCTTGTTTCTCAAAACCACTACGAATCATTAACACTTGAACCCCAAGAACATTAATTAGTAGTTCTAATCTGATGTCACATGATACCCAATTTAAAATAATTTCAAACCAGAGTGATGAAAGCGAATAACTTAGTTGTACTACTTTTTCAAGTCCAGAATTGATATTTCAAATTTATCAAAATACAAACCAAACCGAATTTGTCTCTTGCTGTCGTTTCTTCATTCCCTATTTGGAAGAAAATGAGTGATGCTGTAACAGCCAGTACACCAGGAACGAGGACATCCAGTACAGAAAGGTTTCCTTTTACTTGTTTGAATGATCTCCAGTTTAGTATTGCAAACTGAGTCCAGAACGAAGAAGGCCATCGATGTGTTTCTCCATCATCAACAATATCAAGAACAGTACAGCCAGATGTTTCTATCAATGGAAACAGCAATGTACATTATAAAGATCTATTTATAGGAAAAACGTCAGACTTATATTACTGAAGCACAGTTGCAATCAGACATAGTTAAAATCAGTTCTTTGTCTTTTTTAAATATCATCTTTAAAAAGCCAGAAAGCGTACCTTCATTCCCCCGAGGTTCCACGCCGTTTGTGTGATAGCTATAAAGAGTCTTTCCATCTGGTACAGTGTTGTTATATCTGTAACTTAATTAAATGCTATCAAATAACATTACAAATGCCTATATGACGAAGTCTGAGTAATGAAAGAGAACAAATGAAATGAAGTCACTATTAAGGTGTTATACTACCTTTTCTGTATAGCCCCTTCATTGATTGTACAAACGGTGTCGCAGTCTGACGTAATTACATCCACTATATCAAAAAATATTAAATAAGATATATTAGGCAGGTATCATACACGGGACACAGTAGATACCAATTCTATTTTTGATACAAATAATAAACAAATTAATTACAATTTTTTTAAATAAAAATTTAGAATAAGAATAAATTTCTCTGCCAACTGATAAAGCACAGTGCACCAAATAGCTGTTGCATTATAGGAGACGACTTAAGGAAATGAAATTTGACAATGTTAAAAAGCAGATATTGGATGCATTAAGCGGATAATAAATATGATTGTTAATTTTCAATATTGGGTGTTTTGAATATGTCAGTCCGTGTGAAATGGTACCATTATTCATGTATATTAAAAACATGACAAGAATAAAAAAAATATCTCGGCCTCTTTAAATTGTCAGTCTCAAATTGTTGTTAAACATGTCTGTTTTGTCTAGGTAGGTATCAATAAAACATCGTATTCCTGTTACTATGAAATATGGTAACAGAATAGGTTTAGATTTTAATTGTTGTTAAAAATTCCGTCCTTTACTTACACAAAATATCGGCAGGATTATATTCGTCTAGAAATGATATTCCGAGACTAGTCAGATAGTTTAGTGCAGAGTCCGCAGGGCCAAAGTATACTACCTGGATTGAAACGGATTATGATGACACAACACCACCGTATTATCTTTTAATAGGGGTTACATGCTCCGTAGATCAAATTAGAGTAAACGTGAGTTTAATTTTGCTAACATGAAGTTTATATCTTTTGAAAGACTAAGATGAATTGAAATTGTACAAGTATCATAATGAAAGTTATAACTATGATTGATATCAATAAAACAACACAGAAAAAACTTTTATCGTGAAAGTGCAGATTATATGGACATATTAATCCATATCAAAATAGAAGTTTTTAATCCAATCCTTGTACACAATGATACCTAACACCTTGTGTAAAGGGGAAGACGTGGATGTGTGCTTTACAGACAAATTATCCGACACTCATACATATGTGTATATTCTTTACTTTAATAGATGATGTAGCAAAATACAAACATATAACGTAGTAGGACCGTTAGAACTTTGTATCTTATCACATAGCTATTACAATATAGGAGACGACTTGAGGAAATTTGGCCGAAGTCAATGATACATTATAGATGGGGAGATGTATTAAGCGGATAATTTAATACGTTTAATAATTTTCAATATTGGGTGATTTGAAATATGAAGCTGTGAAACATTTGTATCTTACACGAGTGGTTGTTAAAAAGAAATTTACCTGTCCCTCAAGTAAAAGCAGTAGGTTGGAGAACATGTGGAAGGCTTGACTAGAAGGCTGGTGAATGGTTGTTACTAATGTCTTGTTGTAATTCGTAGCATAGTCTCTCAGCTGTACCATCAAGTCATGTGCAATGCTCGAGTCTAACCCAGAGGTAGGTTCCTGATTAACACAAGGAAAATTCCGTAGCAATAAACAGAACTATTATGTTGTAAGTGTTTTCCATAATATGAAATTTCTCTGTATTGGGATATCAAGGGAAATGGGATTATACGTGATTTGAAATAGCGATTTTCGTCATATTCGGGCTAAAATTGAATAAGATATAAGGTAATATTGCACTTTTAAACAGATCAAACAACTAAATGCGCAATAATTTCTAAAAAAAATCAGATATCCGCCTTAAAAATCAACATGTTCAATTTAAAAATGATTCAACTTCCTGCCACCGTTCATTATGGAAAGATAGATTTTGTATTTTACAAAGGAAAAATTGTATAAGAAGAGAGCAAAACCATATCAGAATATTTTTGACGTTCGTGCAGAGTTACCTCCCCGCACGGAGCTTTCCTACTTGATTTTATTTTTATGTAAGCATGGCGGGTATTACGCGCACCTCACGGAAAGAAATTGCTTACAGGGGAACTGTGGTGAGTTCTTATGCGTAAGTAATAGTTCTTTTTGTATTATATTAATATTATTTAATTGATGAAATGGTGCTTGAGCTGTAGTTTTTAGAGATCGCGTAGTATCGTTGTAGAATTTTATGGAAGCGCACTGCAACCGGTGCAAGGGAAATTTTAACCCATTTAAACATGCCAAGAGAATCATTTAGCAAAAGTAATTTTAAATGTTAATTATTAACAGGGATAATATCAATTTTATTTTTATTTATTTATATTTATTTGTTTATTTTTTATTTATCGAAAAACACATGAGGAATAAATAGATTCATATATACTATCAGTCTATAACTCCCATCGTCACACACTTACAGAGTATAGTCATGCATCATTTTCACCACTAAACACACAGCATTTTGAGTTGCACACTATATCTTAACTATCATAGACACTATGTAACACAATCACTCTAAACATATATTTATAACTTGCAGCCATACTAGCACTCCAGCATTGTTTCATATACAAACAACATCAGCATCTGACATCAACGTCATCATATACAATCATCATCCTCGTCACACATTAGTATCATCACATACCATCAGCATCATTATGGTCACCTATCAACATTAGCATCATCACACTTCAGCAGCATTACACATCCGCATTATCACATACCAAATCAGCATCGTCACACCTCAACATCATCATATATACCAACATCAGCAGCATCACACAGCAGCATCACACATCCTCATTATCAGCTTCTTCACACACTTTAACTTCCATGCATAAGGATGCTGCAGATTCTTAGACACAGTCAACATCATTATCTTCATCATCAAGCACACATAGACATGCTAATTTCAGTAATTTCTCCATAAACTAGTATGGACTCATAATAAGTGAGCAACTGACAGCTGTCACTATATCACTATAAGATAAATGTTCCTAGATATAATGAAATAGACAAATAAAAAACAAAACATGTGATGATTTTTTTTATAATTCTTTAAACAGCAGACAACTATTAGCTGTTAATAATAAATGTAAATCAATATCAGAAATACTGTCAGTTCTTACCATTGCTTGTGAAGTGATTGATTCTAAGGTGACCGATAAGGCCCATAGGCCTCTTGTTTCTAATCTTAAATTAATTTTTCAATGTATTTTTATGCACAATATGCGTACCTCAAGTGATTTTGCTTATTATTTTAGATTTATGATCTTTACATTTATTTACTTCTTTTTTTTGTTTGATATTTATGTATTTTATACATCCGTCAAATGACAGGACATATTATGGTATTCTCGTCTTCCATCCGTCCATCTTCCGTCCGTATGTCCCTCTGTTCGTAAACATTTATGTCCCAGCGATTTTGGAATTTATTAAGCCTTAACAGATTTCTTTTAACTTTCATTGCAAGCTTAAGTACAATCAAAGCTAGATTGAGTTTGATTTCCATGATTTTTGATCCACAACTTTTAGAGTTACGGCCCATTAATGTCTGTAACCTTTTCAATGTCGGTGCAATAACTTTGCAAAGTATTACGCAATTACCATTGAAACAAATGCAATATATTATATACAGCATAAATAGTGTAGGTAATAGTCAGACAAAATCACAGGCGTATTTCGTGACCTGAAACAGGCTCTTGTTTTTTTTTTTTTTTTTTCGTGTGACAAATTAAAATGATTGTTCAATATATGAATATTGTCAGCATTCCATTATACCTTCATAGATCCCTATTAGGATAAACTGACGGGACAGAGCTTGTTTGTTACACTATCAGAATAATGTAAATCACTCATACTGGTGGAGGAATTACAGTGATTCTAGCATTAAGTTGTATGGTTGCCAATTTATTTGCAGATAAGTCAATACCATTATTACTATTGCAGCCATGGTCTTTTGATGGCGTCGTTAACTTCACCTTGTCAGAATATCCTAATGGGGCAATATTTTGTACATCATGTGAGAAAAAAAAGCATATTTACAAAATTAATAACCAGAAGTAGCAAAATCACAGGGACTTTTCGAAATTATTTTTATTATCTTAATTATCTAGACAAGCCATTGTGGCTACATATAAATATGCAAGTGTTTCTGACTTCGTTTTGAACAAAAAAATAGTTGTGGAGTGATGGCTTTTGATAATGGATGTATGTATATCTAGTTTTGATATATGCTTTATTTGACAAGGAATGTCAATTTATTGTTGTTAATAAAGTTACTGTTTCAATTTTGTTGTCATTGGTCCGTTTTTCCTTGGGCCGGAACTATTTCGGAAGGCGTCTATTTGCATCAACACTGCATCGTCATGCCGGTAATTACGGGCTTAAAATAGATTTTCTGTTGACCAATTTCATTTGACAGATGGGATTAAATCCCTAATGCGTCATATCGAGCGTAATAGCTTATTGGATAAATATTTATAGCAACCTATATTGAACTTGGGGAAACCCGTTCGTCCGCCATGGTGTTTCACGTTGTAATAGCAGCAAGCTGCAAGATGAACTCGAGTAATTTTACGGATGTTTCCTTTGATTGCTTTTCATTATAACTACTGGAGCATGCATAAAACATCCTTGTGTCGTTGTCACGAAATGTAATAGATGTAGCAACAACCATTTGTACCTTAACTTTAATAAAAACATGCCAAATGTCGTATCTTTCTAATGGGAAGCCTGTTACGACGGAGATGTGAAGGGGACGTAACTCTTGGCGAACGACTACTATGTTCTGATATGATCTAACCGTTGTTTTCTCATGCGTGCCTGATGTTCTCTTGTATGACGTAAGCAAACAAAACAGACGTAACGCGACACGGTTTTATCTTGTAATCTCCCTTAGAAAGAATTATCAGAGAAAACACGAAAGCGAAACTCTGGCTGTGAAAAACTGCTAATTCTTTTCAGTATACTGAATGGAAACACTAATGGTTGAATTTATAACTATACACTACTAAATCAAAAAGGCAAACAGAAAGAAAATGCATATGTGCGCCAACCATTCTGTAAATTAAAAAAAGTAATGAGAATATAATTGATGTGTGGGTCTGGGTATTGTTATATCGGTGTTAACTCACATCTATCAGAAGTAGGTCAGTGTCTCGGTATTGTTATATCGGTGTTAACTCACATCTATCAGAAGTAGGTCAGTGTCTCGATATTGTTATATCGGTGTTAACTCACATCTATCAGAAGTAGGTCAGTGTCTCGGTATTGTTATATCGGTGTTAACTCACGTCTATCAGAAGTAGGTCTGGGTCTCGGTATAGTTATATCGGTGTTAACTCACGTCTATCAGAAGTAGGTCAGTGTCTCGATATTGTTATAACGGTGTTAACTCACGTCTATCAGAAGTAGGTCTGGGTCTCGGAGAAGTTCACATGCAATGCTTGTCCTTTTCCTTTCTCCACCAGATAAACCACTATTAAAGATGTCACCAACAACTGAAAAATCACCAATATGAAAAATGCAATCAGTAGAATGCATAACTTGTCACTTCTTTTGTTACATTTCTTTGAGTGCAAATTTTTCATTATTAACTACACAGAAGTTATGCATTTTGAATCGGTGTCTCCAAACTAGTTGGTGACTACCCAACTGAACAAAATACGAGAGGCTATACAGATACATATGTATGCGTATCATACAGAGCAATTAGTGTGTAGTTCTTCCCAAGGACACAACAGTGACAACAAAGAAATTGACGTTTCTTAGCTTTATGAGACGAATTCATGAGTCAAGGTCCCGGATCTCAGAATTTTAGATTCGAAAAATAGATTGGAATAAAGTGCTGATAAGGAAGGAGTTAATCCTCAGTGCAGGTAAGTATGTACATCTTTGATTTTAAAAGGTTGGGTTGTACATGACAAAATGAATTAAACAATCATGTAAATGTTCTGCGATCGGGATAAAGATTCGGTTCGATGTGTCTTTAAACTGTTTGAATTTGACAGCAAACCTAATCCCACAAGGATTCAAAGAAATCCCTTTCAATACATTGGAAGTAGAAATGTATAGACTTAACCTGCTCTCTTTTACGAAACGCAGTCACTAGGACTGTTTTGGTATGAGCCTTGACTCCAGAAATTAACCTTAATGATTGGTCAATGCAATTGTTTTCGTGAGTCAGTAACAAAGAACAGGTCAGTAACAATGAAATACACCCAGGAAAAAATGTAACAATCGAATGTTATCCCGGAACGTACAATAACACCGGAATACATCCCAGACAAACCAGTAACAATGGAACATTATCCCGGAAAAACCAGTTACAATGGAACATTATCACAGACAAACCAGTTACAATGGAAATTATCACAGACAAACCAGTTACAATGGAACACTGTCACAGACAAACCAGTTACAATGGAACGTTATCACAGACAAACCAGTTACAATGGAACATTGTCCCGGAAAAACCAGTTACAATGGAACATTATCACAGACAAACCAGTTACAATGGAACATTATCACAGACAAACCAGTTACAATGGAACACTATCACAGACAAACCAGTTACAATGGAACGTTATCACAGACAAACCAGTTACAATGGAACACTATCACAGACAAACCAGTTACAATGGAACGTTATCCCAGACAAACCAGTAACAATGGAACAGTATCACAGACAAACCAGTTACAATGGAACAGTATCACGGACAAACCAGTAACAATGGAACATTATCACAGACAAACCAGTAACAATGGAACACTATCCCGGACAAACCAGTAACAATGGAACATTATCACAGACAAACCAGTAACAATGGAACATTATCACGGACAAACCAGTTACAATGGAACATTATCACAGACAAACCAGTAGCAATGGAGCATTATCACAGACAAACCAGTAACAATGGAACATTATCACAGACAAACCAGTTACAATGGAACAGTATCACAGACAAACCAGTAACAATGGAACATTATCACAGTCAAACCAGTTACAATGGAACAGTATCACAGACAAACCAGTTACAATGGAACATTATCACAGACAAACCAGTTACAATGGAACAGTATCACAGATAAACCAGTAACAATGGAACATTATCACAGACAAACCAGTTACAATGGAACATTATCCCGGACAAACCAGTAACAATGGAACATTATTTCGTACTACCTAGTTACAATGGGACAACCAGTAACAACATACATTACCTGTTCCAATCTTTTTTATCAAGAAGTAGCTTCGAGGTTTCCTTGAAAACGGTTTGAAGAAGCTTTATAATATTACGGACATTAAATTGTCATGAAAAACACGATTAAAAAAAAATCATTTCTTGTGTTGTGATGAAAGACATTCCACGATTTGATTTTGTATGACTTTTGACGATAGAAACAATACTAGGCCCTGATGTGTTTGTGCATTTGTCTTTATTTTCGTTTTTCCACCAAACAATACCTACCTGTATGAAGACACTTTTCAAGTCCTAGGGATTTCACGATGCTGTCTATTTGTTGCAATTTCTGTTCTTGTGAAGTTGTTTCTGGCATACTTAGAATCGCTGTAAACTTAATAATAAACTGAGTAGTTAGATCACCGATCTACAGGACGGACCGAACAATGATATTGAATTGTTAATTTCATCATGGGTATAACAATTATATACATCAATATCTGAGTATTCTAAGGTATGTAATACATCATCAAAGTCCATCTCGAAATCTTACATATAATGTCTCCCATAACGTCAGGTTGGACAGGAAGACTTCATCCTGGAGAACGTAACCAAGACGACGTCGCTGTTGTTTGCCAAATGAAGATCCATCAAGAGTTATCTTCCCGGAGGTGACGTGAACACTTCCTGCTAAAGCATTCAGCAAAGTTGTTTTTCCAGAACCTTTAATAAATTTTTTATGATATAGCGATACTTTCGGTAATATTACTTTATCAGCAACCTTAAAGGATATGTCGTTGATAATTGTATAACGCAAGACTTTACTAAACCTTAGGGCTTCGTCAGATACGAAAGTTGCAGTCGCCGCAGTATCTCAATAAGTAAAAAAGCGAAATGGAACGGGTAAGTTCTTATTATAGTATAGTATACTTGCGAACTTCGTTCATAATATCAACTCGTTTCCCTTAATGAGATGGTGATATTACACAGATAAAACAATATTTTACATGGCAGATGTCGATTTCATAATGGTAAATGGACTTCACTGAACAAAACCTCATTTCCGTTGCAACCACATTTGTAAGCATCATACATTCCATCTTTCCAGGCCCGCTCATTTTGTACTTATTATGCTGAAATGGTCTTGAGGTCATACATGCAGGCAGCCTGGACAGATTGGGCCTATCATGCATATTTTCACATAGATTCTTAAGATTGGTAAAACGTATATATATTTAAGATAAATAGATACATGAACATGTATTCATGCAGTGCATTTTAATATTATGGGTAACGTTTCGGTGACTACACGCTGCCTTATTCATAAACAACAGATGACATGTTCAGTATCCGTGAATTTTTAAATCTTAATTTATCCGTGGTTTGTACCTTATATTTTGCGTTTACATCTCTCATTAAACCTTTTCAACTTTAAAATGCTCAATAAAGTTGTTTTTACTTATCAAACTTGTTTATCAAACTTATTAACTTTAAATTGCTCAACAAAACTGTTAACATTAAAATGCTTAAACACCCGTTAGAGTTTTCTGCCCTTGGACTATGCCAATATGTGCTATATATCGATTAATACTTTTTCTGATGGAAAATGTCTCTTGCACCACTCTCGCGTGGAATTCGTAAAAGTGCGCTAAATGTTTAATGAACCTAAAATGTATTTTATTTGATATCAGGAAGTAGCTCTTTCATCTACAAAACTGTGAAAAAGGAAAAGATGAAAAATCGCCAACTACAGACAATGATAAGCTTAACATGAAAACAGAACATATATCCTTTTCTTGGGAATTCTCACTTTGTGAGTAATGTGAACATATTTGTATACATTAACACGTTTTTTATTGGTGCACATTTTATCAGCTTGCACACTAGACACGGAATAATTTGGATTTAACTTGTTCCTTGATCATGATTCCGTTTTGACCATGTCAAGTTGTAGTTAAACCTGTTTTTCTGATACAGTGCTGTCTACTAAATTGTTCTTTTTGTATCTAGATTAGGACAATAGAGAGCCTAAACAATCCCTTATCTTTAGATTTTTATAAGTAACTTTGCAATAGGTGAGCCACTTTTAAGACAGCCACATGTAACATACAAGGTAATTCCAGGCAGCATGCTCCATAGTGGTACAAAAAGAACAATGAACGACATCACAACTTGTATTTTCAGTACCCCCTGATACCATCGTATTAAGTGGGCGACAATATCTAGACAGTGCAAATATAAGACCTTACAAAAATGACGAAATAAGAACATGCCAGCGAATAATAAAGTGCTCCATCGTGACTTGAATAGAAGTAAATTTTATCGAAATTTATTTGAAGAGACTCATACCTGAATTGTACTCACGTACTACTTTTTAGAACATTTTTTTACCTGTAATAAATTCTTACCTGTAATGAAAATTATTCATTCGATTTGTCCATTAACATATACACTACAGGTTTTTTTTCTTCATACTGGCCATCAAAATTACCATAAAATGGATTTAAATGAAAGGAGGCACGTATATGTGAGACCGTATGTAAATGAACCTCAGGTGGGGACTTCATTTGGTAAGACATATGCTATTGAAAGACTTTACTGAACTAAAACAGTTTTATGTGAATTAATCTGACAATGACATGAATCATATCAACCCACGTCCCTGAACGATTTAGGAAGATTTCAGTAGGTCTTCTCAGCCATACCATTTCATCAGCTTTCAGTACGCAGATTAGGCTTCAACATCCTATTTTATATAACAGTTCACTAAAGCCTATCGTGTCGATGATTTAGACGGGTTGGTGTTTCAGGGATCGAGGTAAAATTTTGCTATGGATATTTGAGAAAATCAACAACCAATTCCGTAACTTCGTCAAGTTCTCTCATGAATCCATTTCTTAGTGAATTGTGATCACATTTCGCACAGAATACTGTCAATGTGTAACAATGGAGAGGAAATATCTCATCTGAATTTGACAATTATTCTTATGTTCATGGTAGTGCGTGCGTTCTTGTGTTAAAGGCATTTTCTAGTTGTATGTCTATGAAAGTGTTTTAAACTTCTGTTATATCAGAAGAAAACGCAAATGTCTGACAAATACCACATCTATTAATGTATTTAGGACTGGATGTACCATTACCAGAAGTCTATTCAGGAGATTCTGTGTGAACTGTATACACCATGCATTACTTACCACTAGGACCCATAACAGCCAAAATGTTTCCCATTGTCGCTACTCCAGAAACATGTTTCAGTATTTCTTTGGGGTGATTAACACATAAATCAGTGAAAACCAGACCAGTTCGTTTATACTCCATCTTTGTTAAAGCAGGTGTAGATGTGTGGTAATGATGCCTCTTTGTATTTCCCTCAAAATATCACGATACTGCTAGACTCAGTCATTGAGTCAATAACACAACTTCTCATTCCTTACAGTGTTAATCAAAGTACTGAAAGTCCTACTTCACGATATCAAAGACGATTTGATTCAGAAGCATGCACCTGTAAAGGTTTGCTTTAACAATAAATTTCACATACTAGTTGTACAGTCATTGAGTTATATATCACAAAATTACAAAGGTGTGTCCCTCTCTTGATGGTGAGGGCGAAATACTTCGGTATAGAGTCGACAACCACATTAAAATTCCGACGAGTTACATTGTCAGCAGTACAAATGTGAAATTTCCTTTCACTCAAATGAAAGTCGCCGATTAAAAGGTCACGAGATTTCGTTGTTTACGACTATGAATCCTACAAAATAAGGTTAAAAAGTTAGCTAGTGGGATCACACAATGTTACACGATGTCTGCGCGATGTGTGCACGATGTCTGCGCGATGTGCGATTTTGTCGCATATGTGTATGATTGTACCGTGATGATATGAAGTGTATAATTTCAGCGCCATTAAAAAATATTAAATAAAACATGAAAGCTATCTATGGCAAATCTAAAATATAAGGCCAGTTTCTAAATGAGAACGAAGTGAAGACCAATCGAACCATCAGGCATACAACAAAATACAAAATACGTCGAACGGGAAAAGTAACGTTACAAAAGATTATACGTGTGCATGTAATTTTATTTCAGGAATATTGATCTGATAGTTGAAATACTCTTAAAAAGAATTGAATTTTACACTTTTAATTTAATTAGATTAAATTCAATTTTATTCCAAGGGACTTGCGGTCTATTGGCACACACACACACACACACACACACACACACACACACACACACACACACACACACACACACACACACACACACACACACACACACACACACACACACACACACACACACACACACACACACACACACACACACACACACACACACACACATGCTTATTCACATATTTATCAGTTTTGATTATAGCTTTAACACACCTAATTACAGCTTCAGCGTGACCTTAGCACATTTTCCTCAGATTAAAACACAGCTTTATCAGATTTAAAACACAACTTCATCACGCTTTACCATAGCTTCATCAAAGCTTTATCAAAATCAGCTTATTCAGATTTAATCCAGACTTCATCAGACTTATACATAGTTTCATCAGACTTAAGTACAACTTCATCAGACTTAGGTACGCTTCATCAGACTTATGTACAACTTCATCAAACTAACGCACAGCTTCATCACACGTAAATACAGCTTCCTGAAACTTTATCACAGCTCAACAGAGTTAAAATCTTCAACAATAAAACACAGTTTATCCCGTCTAAACACAGCTTCATCAGCCTTATCATAACTTCATCAATACCTAATACTTCGACTTAGAAAACAGCTTTATAAGACGACTGAAACACAAATTCATCAGATACAGTCAAAGTTTTATCGGACTTAATCACAACTTCATTTCGCCTAAACACAGCTTCATCAGACTAAGATAAAACTACATCAGAAAAAATCTTCATCAGATTTAAGCACAACTTCATCAGACTTAAACACAGCTTCATCACACCTGAACATAGTTTCATCAGAATAAACACATCTTCATCAGTCTCAAACACACCTTCATCTCCCCTAAACGCAGAATTATGAGACTTAAATACAGTTTCATCATTACTAAAATTCAGCTTCATCAGACTGAAAAAAAACAGTTTCACTCTGTTCCATTAATTGCCCCAATAGAACGGATTAATAAAATGGCATGCCTGCCCTATCTGAGTGTACAAAACATAAGGCATGTGAACAATCATATCTAAGTGTCACACTCAAACTATTTTCAAGTATAGGCAACACGATGGACATTAAATGTCCTAAACGGAAACATGAAGAATTCATTGTGTGTAAGGGTTATTATCATGATAATATCTAAACAGATCTTCTGAAAGAATCTGCTTTCAACCTTAATGAACAATATGCAGGATACCCATCACAAGATGTCGAAAGTATTTCGCATTGATTGCTTGCTCAAAGACATAACCGTGGCAGTACACGACAGTACACAAGGCATTGCTTGATATGAACTTCCGGTGAATTACAAACGTTTGCGACTAGGGATCGACCTACACACTTCAGATTTTCCCTAAGTATTGTAAGTGTCAATACTCAACAGCAAAACACCACTATGACCTTCTATCAATAGGTGCATTAACGATTCATAGTTATCGACTATTGCGACGTATGTGTGAAAAAAATCAGGCCGCAGCAAAGACTATTTTCTGTTGGTCAGGAGGAAACAAGCACATCACACTTGTTTCCAGTGGTTGTTGTTTTTCCTTTTTTGTTTTAATTTTTTGTTGTTATTTCCTTTTTTTTTTTTTTTGTTATTTTTTTGGGAGGGTGTTTGTTTGATTGTTTTTTCCATTATAATGTTAGTAAAATGGTTAATGTTTTTTTATGGTTTACGTCAGATTTAATGCCTCTGAAACCAGGAAGTTTTTCTCTGTGCTGCTGAATGAAACTTACTTGCTAAAATTTAGAATATGAAACTTGACCAAGCAATCAATTAAAATGACATTGGTATGCTCACGTGCACACGATAACTTCTGATAGCTATCTATACGGTTGGTTTCAGTGGTTTTAATGACTATTTGATATAGAAACAGGCCATATATATATGGAAATGATATGACATAGTGACATATTATTTCACTTAACTTTATTGCAGGTCGAATGGAATTTTATATAAGGTCGGTATATTTATCAGAAACATGTACGAAAACGAAAGCTTGAACATCAATAAACTAAAAAAAAAAACTGAATTAAAAACTTCTGGCTTTCATGAATTGTGCCTGTCCGGTAGATCATTTGATGCTGAAGTGCCAATTGTATAGGTACCAATGAACAGTGAACCACGTAAGAGGTTAGTGTACAATACTTATCACACACTTAAAAGCTAGACGAGTGTGTTCCGGATTTATATATATAAGTTAAACCTAGAATGCTTAATCTTCCTCTTCTGCTATCTAGGCACGTCAAAGTTCAGATAAGTGTGTTGTATCTATGCGGAAATAAAGACACGCAATTATAGTGAGGTGATATATTTTAGTATTGCGCTACTTAGTTATTGTATGCGAATATATTTGAATTTTATATTTTTGTTTTGTGTATGTGTGTTTGTTTTCTCTAACATGATATTTTTTTTATATCTACCTAAGGTACTATCTCTACTGACAAGTCTAGATGATTGGTATATAAGTAATTAGCTCGTAATATTAAAAGAAAATAGGTCATGAAAACGACAATGGACTGGTGTCATATCAATGATATTACGCATTTAGGTGTATATATATTACCTATTATTGTGGGGGTGGGGCACCGTTTAACAATTAAAGAAATGATTTTCAATTGAAAATGAATCATAAAACTTTCGCTAAAGCCATCTATAAACTGGAAATTAGAAACCATTAGAAACAGGAAAAGCTGTATGACATGTGAAATTATTTTCGGAAATAAGTATTTGATATGATACTTAAAAATAATTAATGTTCGTGCGTATTTGCCACTGTATTGAAACTCTCTGTCCACCGGTTATAAATAATTAATGTCCGTGCGTATTTGCCACTGTATTGAAACTCTCTGTCCACCGGTTATAATAAATTAATGTTCGTGCGTATTTGTCACTGTATTGAAACTCTCTGTCCACCGGTTAATTTGTCTCTTGCTTTAACATACTTTTACTGCAAATATTGTGATTTTTACTATTTTTGCCATGTTTTAATTCTTTCGAAAATGTGGCACATTTCAGAATATACATTGTAGATATGTATTTGACGTTCTTCTCAGATATATAAGATTTACCTCTCCATCCACATTTTTGACATTTTTTTTTTCGATCACATTAAATTTTCTCAGTCGCCTCCTAGGCTCCAAAATATAGGCCCTCAGCATCACTGATAAATCCTCGAAGGACGCAACAGTTATAATATGCAGTTTAACTCTTTGTTTGGCTCTGCAACGTCCTATTAATTTTTTATTGAAAATTTATATTCACGTTCGGGTCTTTTGTGCAATCTGTTCACTAGATATATTAAAAAACATATGAAATCCAAATATTATTTTTCAACTGAAGCAATAATGTATTCGCCTGAAAAATCTTCATCGATTTATGCTTTTGAAAACCTCCATTCAGGAATGTTCTTTCCGTTTTTTAAAGTTAGATGTAACTGATTAATTACATAATGTATCACTGATAGCATTACACTTTGACAGATTCATCGTTTTGTATCTTTCAACACCAGTAAACAATGTAACAAGATATCAGTCATGGGTTGAATACAACAGGTTGATTTTAGCTAACCCCCTCAGTTAAATGACGAAATAATTCCAACAGAAAATATGATTTTGTTGAATTCAATTAAAGATAACTAAAACAACGAAAAAAGTTATCGACATGAAATCAAAATCTGAATTCTAATTCAATTGTGATAAAATGAGGGCAAACTATAGACAAAAATGTACACGGAGGCCATTGAAAAAATTAAGAAAAGACTATTTTAATTCAATATTGATGAAATGAGGGCAAACTATAGACAAAAATGTACACGGAGGCCATTGAAAAAATTAAGAAAAGACTATTTTAATTCAATATTGATGGAATGAGGGCAAACTATAGACAAAAATGTACACGGAGGCCATTGAAAAAATTAAGAAAAGACTATTTTAATTCAATATTGATGAAATGAGGGCAAACTATAGACAAAAATGTACATGGAGACCATTGAAAAGATTAAGAAAAGACTATTTTAATTCAATATTGATGAAATGAGGGCAAACTATAGAAAAAAAAAATTCATGGAGATCATTGAAAATTAGAAGAAAAGCGAGGTCCGGTATTAGATAATAGTTAGCATCTTTTATTACACCCGACGTGGAACTGTCGGTTAATCAAGAGTTACGGCACTTTATCAGATGACAGCAAAGATAATACCAACGGATCTACGAGGCGTAGTGGATAGCATCAAAACACGATGACCGTATCAAACTCTTCAATAGCTCTTATCCACGTATTTAAGTAACAAATGACTTCGATAACGCAACAGCAAAGAAAATATATCGAAAAAAATGGTAACGATACTTAAGCTGGACTTTACCCAGTGCATAGCGACTTGTGTTGTCAGTGCAATGAAACACGAACATGACATGGATACTGTGACAGTGACTGAACTCTTCATCAATATTGATTGAAAAAAGGCTCATGCGTTTGGTTTCCGTTAAAATATAAGGTATGTTGTAATCTTTTGATAATTGTTAATGCCATCAGTGTTTGTCATGTTTATTTGTTTTTTAATATTTACATTTCTGATGTGTATCCTCTGTTTGGTCTTACCAACAAAATTGATGTTAACACTTCTACTAAAAATGTAAGTACATGTATTTTTTCCACTATGATCATCACGCTTTTCCATGTAATATCCCAAGGAAATTGTTAGGCTTTTTGAAATAAACTATATACTGATACCAACAAGAAATAAAAAGACAAAACTATAAATCATTTTAAAATTGAATTTAAATCAAAGTAAGAAAAGTATGTACTTATGACAAGATAAATTCACTTGCAAATAAATTCACATTTGTCTATCAACCTCTCATTTCATAGGGAGAGAATGGGGAACCTAAATACTATCCTGTCCAGTTGCATTGCGGTGTCAAAATGTTCTTGACGGCCGTTGTGTGGTTTAACTGTTGCTGTAAATATAGAAAAAATAACGAAGTATACTCTGAGAATATCTATAGTCGATATAACAGCCGAAGATGACGTTTGGGCAAATCTCAAATAATGTGATTAAAATAATAATAAAAATGACTTGCCACGATATACATGATACAAAGTGCAGTAAGCAAATCTGTTGTATGTTGACAACATGATATCATCAGCAAAAACATACCCCAAAAATATACATTGTAGATAATAATGTTCTATATAATGATTTAGATATATCTATATGTGTATTGCACATGTAAAGGATATTTTAATGTATATGTTCGTTATACACTATGAGTATATTTTGTATACAATTAGTGAAAAATTGAAATTTTATATACTATTTAAGTTCACTGATTTCTGATTTGACTGAAATTAGATCACATGTCTTATTCCAGGAATTCGGGTTTTGTTTTCATGTATCCTATCGTGGTAACATCTGGGAAACGTTTTCATACCTTATTTGTTTTCAAATCATTCTTTCTTTCTCTAAAGCAAGCCTCAATCAATCTCCGGCAAACTATAGTTTTGTGTATTATATCAACCAGTGTTTCAGATTTTGTGTTATACGTCAGTTGCATGAAGTATCTATCTATAATTTGTCATTATTTTTTTTATCTAATTGTCCTTGATGTAATTCAGATAATATTCGTGCTTCTTGTGGTTATAATACGACAAGATATTTCAAAACATATTTTTTTTCACAAAATGAGAAACTCGCCGTCTGAATGTTGAAACACTTTTGCAGCACTTCGGCTTAGTGTATTAGAATACAGCCTATAAGGAGGCCATACAGAATATGAAGTGTCTTCTCGTGTTACTTCCGTTCATGATATTGTCATCTGGTATGTATACAAATATCTGTAAAACAAATATTTACAATCACCACAATCATTTATGATCTAAATGTGTCTTTGAAAGACTGTTCGATATAAAATCATGTATATGATAATTCCATAGTCTATACAAATTGGACGCAAACATTAGGCAGTTAAGCTTACTTTGTTAAGAAAGACACGACGGTCGAGTACACTGGGTTAAAATCTGTATATCTGATGTTTTTTCTCTTAATTACACTATTATACACAAAGTCACAAAAACACACTAGAGACCGCGAAACATATGTTTATTTATCGACATGTTTCAAAATGGGCTCCATTCTGTTTCAAGTTTTAAAATTTCATTTATACTTGATCAAACAATGTTTTCGTCTCAACAGCATTCATAAGCGATATATTTGTCTTGTTCAGATAATATCCTGATTTGTTTAGGTACCAGAGTGCGTCTTCGTGGTACCGACAGCACTTCATATCAAGGAAGAGTAGAGATTTACTACAATGGTACATGGGGTACTGTCTGTGACGATTTCTTTGACAACGATGAAGCAAAAGTGATATGTCGAATGTTGGGTTTCCGGTATGATACGCATGCGCATTATTTTTACTTTATTATTCTGATAAAATCGTCATTGAAAAATTAGGAATAATTCCATTAGCAATTTTCTTTATTACAAGCACGTTGCTACATTTTCATAAATAGCAAAACCTTAATCTTAATATTTCAACATTCGTATGACTTAAGGAAAGCTATGGTAAAACGTTCCTTTCATCTCACAAATCGTTTACATTCACTCAAATGTTTTTATTCGGGAATGTTTCAATTTAATTTTGATATCATTCGATTTGTGTTGAATTTCAGAATAGACGTTTTCCAAATTAATTAACAAAAGTAATGCATCACAGAATTCTTAACTCATAATTAGTTACAACGAGTACTTAATACTAATTACGATAGGCAACGTGCTCTATGACACCATACCGATCTGAGAAAAACAACCGGTCTTTGTTGACCTGGTTGTGTCCCTTGGGTAAGATATTTAACTCTGGTTGATATGAATAGCATGCGATGGGCCTCCCATGTATTGGTAATGGTATTTCGAACAAGGTTATCCTGACGTGATAATCTAGGCAAATTATAGGTGAAGTGATCATATATATTCAAAAACACAATCATTTATATCAGAACTGTCTTAATAGGTACCCACATCAGAACTTTATTAGTTAAAATATTTGTTTAAACTTGAGCTTTGTTTCATGTTCATTGCGATGTAATGGAAAATATGCACAAGTACCAACAGTCCCAGACACACAATTGCCTTCTTTGCATGCAAAGGATTTACCAATGTTATACCGATGAAGTAAAGATTATTTTACAAAAGAGACACAAGTGAATAGCACATTTTAATAATTTAGAGTTAGAAGCAATAAAGCCAAACATTGAATAAAATTGCTTCCTACAGCTGTTTCGTCCATGTAGGACTCGTCAGTGGTGCTAAGGGCCTAGATTTTGATGCCTTGTAAGCGTCTGAAGAAAATCCAAGGAAAAGGTCAAATCTAGACAGGGAGGCGCTGCCGACCAATAATTAAATGAATTTCGTGTTCATCATATATCAGATAATTCTGAAATGAAATGAACTACTATTTGAATGAAATAAACGTGGTATGCAAGAAACAGCAAAAAGTTGTGCTACTCAGTCTCATTTTGATATACAAATGTATTTTATAATATCTTGTGTAAAATGCACGATGTTTAGTGCAATTTCTGATGAATTATTATGTATTTGAGAGACGGTATTGCTCCCGTTTGAATATGAATTACGATAAAATGACAGACGTACTTCGATAATAGTCTATAAATAACGAACATAAATAATGATTCCTAAATAAAGAATTTTAATTTACGTTGCTTCAGATTTTCTTGATATATTGTACTTTTGTAAGTTTAAAGATTTTTTTCTTAATTTTTTTTTCTTGAGAAGGAAAGGCGGGAAGGCATTCAGGAGCGCACGTTTTGGCAAAGGGAGTGGGCAAATATGGCTAGATAATGTCAATTGTTCCCTACACAGTATACAACGTGACATATCGGAGTGTACACATGACGGCTGGGGAATTCATAACTGTAATCACGGTGAAGACGCTGGAGTTTCGTGTAATTTCCTGGGTAGATAACAAAAAAGCTCATATATATATTCAGGGAGATCATAGAAGTAGTAGCTTAACGTTGGTGAAATGCGAATATTTAAGTATTCTTTGCAGGTCTGTTTTATAATTCCAATGACAAATCATTCCATATAGCATGTTATGTTATTTTCATTCATTTACATATTTAGATACATACATTTCAATACATTGTGTCTTTTACATTAGATATTCGTCTTACAAATGGAACAAGTGATAACAACGGGCGAGTGGAGGTCTATCATGGCGAGTCCTGGGGCACAATATGTGACGATGGCTGGAATACTGATGCTTCGAGGGTTGTTTGTCGTCAGCTTGGATACAGGTAAAGTAGTAGTTGTATGACGTAACAATGTGACTCACTCTGTCAATTGATTTCATCTTTCAAGACGGGATTCCACTCTGTTAATAACACCTTTCAGTATAAATTAAGTCATTGATTTACATACTGTCATGGCTATCCGACACATTCTAGTATCAGTAAGATCATTAAATTTGAAAATTATGATTACATGATAAGTTTTTAACGAAGTCTACAAGATATTCATACTTTTGTTACAAATTTAAACATGGTATAAATGTTCTAGAGTTTTACCCAGCACTCACACAGTGAACATTATCTTCCGATACAACGAATACATACAATAACGTAAAGATGAAATACCAAATATTTTTCTATTTAGACAAACCGTTATGTCTTCCTTTGTTTGTATTTTCATTGCTATTGTTTACCTGGCATATTTAATGGATAAATAAAATGTTAAAAGGTGAATACCTGCTATTTCATATTTTTCTTCATTTACAAGTAGCAAATTTTGTAATTCAATCATATAAATTACATTATATTATTCTGTTACTACATAACTGATCTTTGTGAGGATGTGAACCTTTCCAAAATCAGGCAATCGGCAAATATATATAAAAAACAAAACAAATAAATAAAGAAAATATATAAATAAATAGATAAATAAAATAGAAAATGCCAATATGTCGACATGACAGTAATCCAAACTCAAATGTAACAAGCAAATTCGTGAAATTTCTATTTTCCGCTTTCGAAACATATTGTAAGTAAACATTTTAGTGGTTAGGAGTAAACATGTCATAGTGATATGTAGAATGATATATTCTTTTGAGCTATGATGTATTGCTTTAAAGCCAAAGAAAGATGTAAAGGACTATAGAGAGTAGATTTTGATATTGGACATATTAAATATTAACCAATAAAGTGAAAGTGAACTAATTGAAGAAAACTTGCATACTAGTAACTATAAGAGTGCCAAGCAGATCCATGGTCTTCAGCAGGTATAGTAGTCCACACAATATGATCAGTATAGGGGACTGGATAATATTTGTGGGACTTCAAGTTACATCTTAATCAGATTATATTTAGGAAAGTTAGAGAACAAAATCTGACCGACCAATGAAATGAAAGGATACCTAATTAGTATGTATAGATATTAATAGATGATGCTGATCTCAGTCTTATGTACCCTAATATGCATCTGCTGTCCAAGTTTCATCTAAATCGGATTATATTTAGGGACGTTAGAGCACGGAAATGAACCAACCAATGAAATCAAAGGATACCTCATTAGTATGCATAATTATTAACAGACGACACTGATAGTTAAATGCAGTCTTAATGGCCCCAAGATGCATCTGCTTACAAAGTTTCACCCAAATTGGATGACATTTATGGAAGTTAGAACACGGAAACGAAAGTGTGACTGACAGACGGACGGCGAGACGGACGCCTAGACTGACAGACGGACTAACCCAAATTAATATCCAAAAGCAAAATTCGTAAACAAATTACATTGCGACTCCTGAAAAAAAGAAAGTAGAATAAGACGAGGTGGCATGAAAGACAACCACTTTTCAAATCTTGTTCAGTCCATGTAAGCAATGTCGCGTTCTAGACGCAACAAATAATGATGTTAAGTGCATGGATGACGGTCAGAAATGATGTCATAAGCTGTTTTTAGTTGTTTTTTTTTGTCTAATTAGGGACCAGTTATATTATAACAGAAGTGGGACTTATGGAAATGGGAAAGGACGTATCTTAATGGATGATGTTAACTGTTCCCTTGGGTACATACCAGAAAAGATATGGAACTGCAGCTTTAGAGGCTGGGGTGTGGAAAATTGTAAACACAATGAAGATGTTGGAGTGAAATGCGTTGAAAACTGTGCGTCATCATTTTCTTTCATTTAAGACTGGAAATGAAATAGAATATTGATATAGTCAACCCTATATATGGAAGACTGTGTATCTCATCTCAGACGGTATCAAATTTCGGACTTTTAAACATCCGTGCGGGAAAGAGTTATTTGAAATGGGCGACTCAGTATATTCAGTAAAAATGAAAAGTGTCACAGCTTTAAGTTCCAATCATACTAAAATGTTGTCTGTCATCGGTCAACGTTAAAGGATTAAATGCCACATTATATCGCACTCAAGGTAGATAAATTAAGGTGTCATATATACTGAACAAAATAAGTTAAGGATCATAAACTTGAAACAGTGCAGTTTTACATACAAATAATAATATGATTATATTTTAAATTTTAATGACAGAACATTCATTTTAGTCTTTAATTACACAAAACAAATTCATTTGTGGTAATTGCTACCAAGAGCAGATAACCCTGAGTAACAGCACCCTTGAAATCAAAGTGTAAGAGGAAGTAGAGCAAGTTAATCATGGAGACAAGGAAAACTCATCAAACTGCAATTGGCAGTTTAATAGGCAGTATGACCTCCGTTGACATCAATAACTGCCCTGCAACGTCTAGCTCCTTATTAGTCGTCGGTGGCTGATCTGTGGGATGCGCTGCCATTCCTCTTGCAGAGCAATCATAAGCTGTTGGCGGTTCTGTGGCGGATTAGGTCAAGCTGAAACCCGGCGTTGCAAGGTGTCCCAAGCATGCTCGATAGGGTTCAGATCAGGAGAACGACTTGGCCAGTCCATGCGAACGATTGCTTCACGTTGAAGATGTCGTTGACCACACGAGCACGGTGAGGACGAGCATTATCATCCATCAGAATAAAATCATGGCCAACAACTCCTGCAATGGGCCTTACTATAGGGTGTAGAATCTCGTCCCTGTATCGAACAGCTGTTAAAGATCCATTGCCTATGATGTATATAAACTGAAACCCTAAACCATCACTGACCCACCACCAAAGCGATACAACACAGCAGTCTGCATAATATCCTCCTACCGTCATGGAAGTCTAGACTCATCTGTGAACATAACATTTCTCCAATGACGTAATTGCCAATTCAAATGATGTCTGGATTGTCGATGACCTCTGGATAAAATTGGTCGGACTGCTGGTCTTCTAGCTCGTAAATTAGAGGCATGGAGTCTGTTTCTGATTGTCTGGGATGAAATCCTTAGATTTGTAGCACGCTGAAACTGAAATTCAAGAGTTATTTGATGCAAATGAATCTGGCAGCGTGGTCTCCAGTCTGGGGCGTTGACGGACGTTATTTGTCTGTTGATAGCGATAAAAATCACGCTCTGAAAAGTGTCACACATTTCGTTTTTGACCAGCTCCAATCATACTAAAATGTTGTCTGTCATCGGTCAACGTTAAAGGATTAAATGCCACATTATATCGCACTCAAGGTAGATAAATTAAGGTGTCATATATATACCGGCCTTGCTCATTTTCTTTATATTTTCCACGTGTGTGGTACATGATACATTTGTGTCAATGGAATGTTAAGTAGCTGGAATTGTTCAACCAAGTGTTCTTCAAACAGGCAAATATCTAGCGTTACTTTAAAGCATTGGTTTGGTATTGACATCCTATAAAAATAAATACTAAAAATGACTACACATTGATTGCATGAAACGGACATCGCAATTTAATACGAATTGGAATCAGCGATTTCGAAATTATAGGAAATTCAATATAATTTCACTAAAAAAAAAAATAATAAAATAAATAAATAAATAAAATAAAATAAAAAAAATATGGTATATTGCCATATCTTTGAATATCAGATTACTGAACTCGATTTAACGATTTAATATTTATAATTGCCAGCTTTGCAAGACAACTATATGTCATATGTTTGGTAGCTGCAGTGTTAACGTCGCATTTTGTTTTTTCTTCCATGTTCCCAGCTGTAAGACTGATAGGTGGGAGAACATCTAATAGAGGACGAGTGGAGATTCTTCAAAATGGCGAATGGGGAACAATTTGTGATAACGGTTTTGGAATGGAAGAAGCACAGATTGTTTGTAACATGCTCCGATACAAGTATGTTTAATATCACTGTGTTTATCGTTCGTGATATAACGTGTTATTGTGGAAACAAAAGTATCAATTGTTATCACTATCAATGAACACAAACTAAGAAGAAACTCCATATCGATCAAGTATCTTACTTACGGTAGGTAATGAAAGACAAACAACAGCATTATTCCCGTTATTTTATGTTTTGTGATTGAAGCTAATGATTCTTCGCCGAGTAGGAACCACCACTCAATTGATAAAATATATACATGCATGTAACTAGGAAATGTCGATAAACTATTTATGGAAATGACTAAGTGGGCTGTCACAATTTTTATATTGTTTCATTTTTCAGGAAGTATGAACATAAAATTCTTCCTTAAGTCAGCCTACAGCTGAAAATTGGGAGTGTGCTTACTAGCAGAGTCTGTAATATAATAGTTCACTTTCACAACGTATTCTTTCAAGCAGGGATGGTGTAGCCATTGATACATAGACTTGTTGATGATATACAAACAAATAAAATTGTACTTTGATAAGAATATCTATCAACTGATATAGACAACAATTTCAAAAGAGGAAATGCAGAATATTGTCTTATGATGATATATCGTCCCCGAATAGTCAGTGTTGTTAATTATTCAATCAATCCTTGTCTAGAGAGACGATGTGATTGTGATTTTTCCATTACAATATGTAATATATTATAACCGAATCATGAAGATTGAATAAGCATGTAACAACTTGAAACTCCAAAGTAAATTGTAATATCGTGATCAATGACCTCTTTGAATCAAAATATATATTTAATGAGTGCAACTTTCTCTATGTTTGGAAACTGAATTGCGAAAAAGAGACATATTGAAAATCACACTTATTGTAAGTCCGCATCTTTTTCCTGTGAAAGAAATTTTAATCTCTACATTAGAATTTAGCAAAATGTTAAAAGAAAATGGAACCGAATATTTTTCAGTTATATATACTGATATTTTCTTTTATTCATAATCTTTGTTTCTTATTATCGTTGTCATAGTTAAAATCTCTGACGGCGTTTTCTTAGTGTTTTGATATTTGTAAAAAAGACGTTACGTCGAAAGAAAAAAAATGACGTTAGGCAGAAAGCACTTGAAGTATGTTATTATGTTTAAGGAACGGACATCCGTATTCATTTTTCGACCCAAGTAATGGATCAATTTACGTCGACAACCTTGAATGTCCAGCAAGGCACTATAGATCTAGACAGCCTTTAAAACTTGGAGATATGATATGCGCCTTTGATGGATGGGGTCTTCACAGTTGTAGCCATCAAGAAGATGTCGGTGTTTGGTGTGGCTCACGAAGTAATACTGTTTAAAATCACATTTATTTGCAAAAAAGTCTTAAGTTACGTAATTGAATCGTTGCTAAAGGTTAATATTCTACATTATGGACTTGTGGTTTCGACATTACACTGATTTCTTTTCTGATACAACCTGATTCAGCATTTGACGTGTGTTATATTTGTAAGTTAATTACAAATGAAACATACTATTAAATGATCGGTCTTTTGATATGGTTAAATGCTGCTGGTAGACAAATATTGCCGTAACTCTGTTTTAAATGTTTTTATGAACAATGTCACTACTCATGTTGGAACAAATCTACGCAATTGACCTTCGTACATATATAGCAAACATTCAGTATTCGAAAATGTACCTTATATATTAGATTATTGAACCGCTCCTACACAAATACACTTTGACATTTGTTTCGTCTGCTTTATGGAGCCTCCTGCATCTTGAAAAGACGAAAGAGATATGCAAATATGATGTAGTTTTATTTATCCTTTTGCTAAACTGCACATAATGCATCTAAATCTCACAAGCGTTTCTTTGTTTTAAATGGACTACTGCATCATGTTCTGATATGCAATCTGTTCTTTGAAATCATAATTATTATCTTATTTTATGTTCTTTTTCTTTCGACATTCTTATGAGAAAAGAAAATTATTTTTTACTTTTAGGAAAGGAAATTGGCATCGTTGAAGGGAAAGCAAATTCGGGCAGAATCAAAGTCTATGATGGTAATGCGTTCGGAACACTTTGTAAAGCATCTCAAGATCCCTCTACCGCTGACACCCTCTGTAGATTCCTTGGATATGTGTATGTATAAAGGTTTCATATTTGTTTTTTTCTCGATAAAAGGTCTTTCCGTGCGTATCGTTATCGAGTTTGACTTGGGGGTGATTTTCTTGAGAAGGTGTTTTTTTTCTGAGGGGGAATGTTATGTTACAGTGTTTTGTTTTCTTAAGACGTGGTGATAGAATCTAGCATGACTGACATCAAAAATATTTCAGAAGTTGCAACAATGAGAATTGATAAAAGGAGTTATACAAACACACACCACCACCAACACCAACAACAACAACAACAACAACACACACACACACACATATTCATATATATAATTTATGGGGCGTGTTGACGATTTTGGTGACTATTTGACCATATTCAAAATTATATTCTTTAAGTAGACATATTTTTTGCATTTAACTAGTATCTTTTCTATCAAATTCCTTTTTATTGTAACTACACATACATTTAACATTTTTTACTATAAATTTTGTTATTTTTAATCAATCAATTCCTCATTAGAATGTGGCCGAGGAGTACCGGTAGACTTCTTTCCTCGGAGTGTGACGTGCAATTGTTTTCGTTGCGATCACATGTGCGCTCAGTATCTAGAGTGCAAAACATACTTAGATTTCTGTAAAACACTTTTGATATTTTAATCACCACTATTACTTAATTGATCATATATCTATCCCAGTCATACGCATCCAACGAACATTTGTTTGTTAGGATCCAGAGCCAATATTGGACCATGACGTCGATACCACTTACCAGATTTTATATTTTTACTTGTTTATTGGAGGGAGGTATTGTAATGTGGACGTCTTAATCGATCTTTTAGTTTGATTGTTTACAATAAGGAACAATTATTTTTCAAAAGCTTGTCAGTATAGATAAGTTCAAAATGATTGTATAAGTGTGTTTCAAAACTTTGTAAATGAGCTTGCGTTCATAGTAATATATATTGCCATTATAGTAAAGGAAAGTTAAAGATATTCTTTTCTCAAGATATGGTGGCGTCCTGATCTCGAATCCTGATCCAACATCATCTAGTATGTCAGTTGTCATGGACTTAAGTTGTGAGGGACACGAGAGTTATATTTCCCGTTGTAACGGAACATGGGTATCCCAGCGATGTCCAGAAGGGCAGGACACTTGGATAAACTGCATCAATTGTAAGATTTTAAAGTGTTGTTTGTTTTGTTTGCTTTTTTTTTCTTTTTTTTTTTTGGGGGGGGGGGTGGGTGGGGGGGGGTGGGGGGGGATCAGTAGTGTTATTTATTGTTGTTTATTTGTACTTTAAATCAATACTGCATGATTTACGCAAATACAAAATTGATTGCTTTACGTTTATACAAAACTACTTTCTCAAAGAAAATTTTCTGCTGTACATTTAAGCAAAACCGCTGAATTTAACCACCAATTCAAATTCCACCTGCTTTACACTTGGTTTAAGACTACAAAACTTGACGTGAAACAAAAGTTTGATGCTTTTTCGAAGTATATATTATCTATCCTGACGAACTGCTTAAATAAAGTAAGTATTGAATTACAACTACGGTAAGCTAGTACAGAAACATGTTAAGTATTTGGGAGTTATATGAACAAAATCTTGCATATATAACCTATTTGGACCATCAAGCTTAGAGAATGAATGCGTTCATATGGGTTGGCGGAAACGCTTTGTAATATATTTATCACATTTTTTCTATACTCTATATATATATGTTTATATAAATGTCAACCCTGTTCTTCTAAGTATTGTTTTCATTTATTTCACTTTTCAGTTCCATAATACAATTGTAATCATGAATAGATTGTATTGGTCACGGTTATAGGAAATATTACAGGCTTATTTATTTTGATTTGTTTCGATTTTGTTTGCGTTTTGTATCTGAAGCCTTATTCAACATGTTCGCAAGTCATTTAACTTATCAGCCAATGTGCTCGAAGGTACACAATTGAAAAAGGATAGAAGTTTTAAGAATATCTATTAAAACATATCGAATTATGTTAGTTGAACCGATTTAACGTGATTAAATTTGACCAGCAGATAGCAAGATTTAAAGGTATATTTCCGCAAAATAGATTGATCCAATAAGAAATTCAGTTATACCAACTGCTGAGGACCTCATGGCAAAAATTTGAATCCCATAGTGCGGCATGTTTGTGCTTGCTTGTATGCATGTTTGGGATGGCGGGGAATGAATGAATAAACAAGTTTTGCGTCAACCCAACTAACGCTTTTTTCTGCTTTTGTCCATAGCATGCGAAGACGGTAGATACGGTCATCAGTGTTCTGAGTTATGTCACTGTGCGCTACCCGGATGTGACATTGGTTCAGGAAATTGCAGGAATGAGGGATGTTTACCGGGATGGCAGGGCCTATCTTGTTCAGATGGTAATGACCGTAACCTACATTAATCCTATATCTTGATTGTTTCTTCAACCCTTAAACCATTCAACCTAGGAACAGCCTACAAGCTAACCATTATAAAATCCCAAGCATGTTATAAGATGTTTAAAACTGTCCTACCAAAGAAATATCGATATTGATATATAAGACGTCACTCGATGATGTCCAATATTCACGATAATTGTCTTTTTTTTAGATATATGCGTTGGAATATATACTGTTGGTGAAAAAGATGTTCATTATTATGTATTTTTTTTAATATCGTCTCATTTTGATGGTTGAGACTGGGAACCACTCTAGTTCAGTCTCTACTTACGATCCCGTCTTTTTATTCTAATCCATGATGGTTAGCCATTTGTTGACCATTTCTCAAAACGATAATCATTAATCTCTGATTACTTTTTTCTTTAACATATCCTGTTATGCGGCGTTATGACAAAAATAATGAAACATATCTTATGGTTGTTTGCATCAGTAGCAGTAAAGTCATGGTTCTGCATTAGATCTATAGTGACGAATGCCCTCCTTATCGGGTCAAAAGATATTTTTTACATGTAAGCCGCCATCTGCATTATTTCCATTGCTATTAGTTTTGATTTAGATGTTCTTCAAGGGAAATTTGAAACACCTTGGTTTTTATCAGGAAAATAAATGTATTGTATAAAAACAATTTGAATTAATTTTTTCCAAGGGAAATTTGATATGCCTTGATTTTATCAGGACAAGACATGTGTCCTGAAATATCGTTGTAAAGTCAAAGACTCTGACACATTTTTGGGGTAAGATAAACTTGATTATCTTATACGACAGAATGCAGAAATGGGACGTTTGGAAAAGATTGTTTTGAAATATGCCACTGCAGTGTTCCTGGTTGCCATCACGTTACTGGTGTCTGTAACCATCAGGATGCAGGATGTCAAGACGGTTGGACGGGTACATCATGTGACAACTGTAAAGGTAATATACGAGTCTTACATGTATATATACACCATAATAAATATACCAGTTAATATTGATAGTTTACAAATTCACATATAATATCACATGTTCGTTTGTATTTAAGTGATATCACACCACTTTTCCGCATTATAAACGTTATGATCTTTATGAAATCAAAAGAAACTTAGACAAAAACCATCAAGAAAATACCAACATGTCAACATAATGATATAAAACAAAATGACCGTCACTATGTCTTATACATAGATACGTCATTCTTCAACCCAGAGATATAGTTTCGATTATATTGACGGAGAAATATAAAAACCCATCGGACTTGCCAATTTTAATTAATTTCGTTATGACTCTCATCTTTGATAATTGGCTCTGGTATAGAATAAACCTCGTAATGGGTAATGTCACTACATATTCATTCAATCAAAAGAATTATAACATTTCTTAATTTCGAATACACGACGTTATATAAGTAAGTCTTAGATGCGATATTTTCTTCTTAAAATCAGAATATTTACATGTCCACTATTACTGAACTCAATGAACCTACCAAAATTATTTTTTGATGTATTCTTAATTTGGCGTATGAATACATTTTTCATTCTAAAGATGAGGTTGCCACCCTTGCCTTTCTTTATACAGATGAGATTTTGTTTAAAAAATATTACATCAAAATACTCTCTAATTATTGAAAAAATGTATATAAGACAAATGAACTGATAAAGTGCTCTATCCAACGCCGTAGGCCGCCATGTTGTTTTTAAAAACGACCTTTTTACCGTCACTTACCTGAAATTGCTCCGCGGAGTATCGAACTATACATTTTACTCGTTCGCAAAGTCGATACTATTAGATGAAATAAAATTCATTTGTACTTATTTTTGCTTACAACGACTCAATTTTGTTTTTTGTGTTATCATTCTGAATATAACAACTATATTTATACAAAGGGTAACGACGTACATTTCGGTTCCATGGTAGACTTGCACAAGTCCCTATCCATCCAAATCTTGCAGGAATGGATAAACTATACAAAATTTATAAATACAAATATAAGGATTTAAGAATGTTATGTTAATTGACTATACATATTCATGATGTGCTTAAAATGGATGAATTCAGTATCTAAATCACTAATAGAAAAATTAGAATAATATAGGCGCAAATTTTCTACTTGAAATGTTACCCCTTTTGAGAATGCATATATTCGTAGTTTTTAAATTTGATTAATATTAAATACAACAACAATATCGAACTGATACTTTGTATTTGAAGCTGATGATTTGATGTACATTGTCATCATTGTATGCATGGGTGTACTGCTGGTCGTCTCTATCGCAACAAACATTGGATTCTGCATCGCAAGAAGTGGATGAATGATAATTGTATTAACTAAATATATACCTATATAGAGTTGTTGACGACAAGAAATAGAAAATCAATTGTTCTAGAAAATGTAAAGTACAAAAGCAAGGTTCTCTGTTTTTCTCTACTTTAAACAAAAAATAATTAACACATGAATATTTATGAAATCTGGTACATGTGTACAGTGTATGATATTCCATGTATACTAATTCGACATAACTGACTTTTATCCTTCAGTTAATTTCTGAAAAAAACCCACTTATATTGGTCAGGGGAGGAGAATAAAAACATGTCAGTACAACTTTGTCTGTGTCACTTACTTTAGGAAGGGACTTGCTATGATTTAGTTATCAAAAGCTCGATGACATTTTCCTACAAAGTTTCTGTTTCGTTTCTACTACCCGATTTTTGACAAAGTAATGAATTGTCAAAGTATATATTTTTTAGTTATGATGTTTCAGTAATATCATAATTTGTATCATATGTATGTGTACAATTTTGTCTTATATGACTTTCAGATTTAAAACGTAAATAGTACTTTTTTATTGCTCTTAATGGTCATCAGCTGTGCACACCACACAAATCTGATGTTTGCTGTTAAGTGTTTATCCATATGACTGATTTGAGTTGTCATCGGAGAATACACATACCTGATAGATATTCGAACCAAGAATGAGAATTTCATCAAGCTTTGAGAAATATCTCGGAATACAAACATACAATATTCTCATAAGGAATGTTGTATAATGTCAATCAGTTTATGGATCGAACAAACGCAAAATGCACCCTGCCAGTTGATACAACAAAAGACACAAAATTAGCCCTGTCGTTATAAGTAGCAAATGACTCAACATCTGCTTTATCTGTTTCAAAAACATAGAACTATTGATAACCCCTGTCAGTGTGAATAACGGAGGTCAAAACATCTGTTCTACCAGTTAAAACAACAAAGGAGTATTAATCACATCCGTCAGAGTGAATAACAGAGGACTCAACATCAGACCCATCAGTTTAAACGACGAAGTATACAACATCAGCAATGTCATCATAACGAAGAGAGGAAACGATATCAATCCTGTCAACAATAAGCACAATATCAGCCCTGTCACTATAAACAACAGAGAACACATCAGCTTACTTGTGTTTTAATCTATCGTGGTGTCCTTTAAAGTTTCTTATTATCGAGGAACGCCTTCCTAGCTAGCGCAATTTCCACAAGCCATAGATAGAACGGGAAAGGAAAGAGAAAAAGTCCACATGAACAGAAAAGAACAAGAGTTCAGCTAAGCAGTATATTATGAGCCCTTTTTAAATGTAGGTCGCGTGATAATTTCACAAAAGGAACGGGAAGGACTAATTGGTAACGAACTTCCCTGTGACGTTTGAAGTTGATCCGTTGAAAAAATGATCAAGATATCGTGCAGATATTGTTTTGATAGTTAAATAAAGGGTTATAACTCCTTGGACTAAAGTCGGGAAGATTCGGTAATTGATTCTGACTCCAGACCGTCTCCGTAACTCCACACGTTTATTTCAGGACGGAATCAACTACCCAAAAATCAATGACGTCACATATACAGTACACACAACATTTAGAGGAAATAACTCTTACGATCTTAGATATTTCTACATAATGTAATTAAGATTAGCAGTTACCAAATCCCAAAATTCGAATTTTAATACCGAGGTAAACGCGAATAAGCAAAATTAACACAGTTCAATTTCACTATTACTGTTAAACCAAAGAACATGCAAAGACACTGACTAGACATTTAGATTTGAAAGATTAAATCAAATCCAATGAGTCGAAATGACTTATTTTGGAACACAGTTCATGTAAACGAAGTCCTACGATTAATAGTCGTACAATTTAACACTTGAATGTCCAAAAAATGTACCTCCAGTCAATAAGAAACACAAATAAATCGCTAAACGATTAACACAAATCAAAATCAGTTACTAGGTTACATAACCTTCAAGTCTCCTGGGTTTAAATCTAACCCGGCCACTTCTAGTGGATTTGTCGGAATTGGTTAATGGACTGTCCAGTGGTTTGTTCACCGGATCACTGGATACCACTGGCGAATTTGTAAGTATGACGTCATGATCCGCCTGATGGTCAACAGTGGATGTTTTGTCGATGCGTTGTTGAAATCGACGATTCCTTCGGAAAATGTTCCCTTTTGGCATATCTACAACGTAAAACCGGTTTTCGAGATTACAACGACTGACAGTTCCGGTATCAGTCCAGACTTTGTATTTGTCTGTTTTCAATCTAACCAAATCCCCTGGTTTGAGCTCTGGCAACGGTGTGGCGCTATGACATATATCATAATACATATTGGCTCGTTCTTTATAGTTCGAATCATTGCGCTGAACTTCGTCACTATTAGGCCATTCTGCTGTATGCGCATTAGGTATTAACGGAACACATGTACGGATTTCCTACCCATCAGAAGTTACTCCTGTAGCTTCGATCGGTGTTGACCGATAAGCCATCAAAGCAATGAATACATCGCCCTGCTTGAGAATTCGTTTCGCTATTTTGACTGCGCACTTTGCAGCCCCGTTTGATTGCGGATAATGCGGACTAGAGAACGTGTGCTTGAACTGGTATTTTTCCCGAAAATGCCCTGAACTCTTCAGAGGCAAATTGAGAGCAGATTGAGTCCCGTTGTCGGATACTATATCTTCCGGAATTCCCCATCGGGAAATGTTTTTGATGACAAAAGCACTAGTCGTTGTTTCAAGGTAAGCAAGTTCAATGAAACGTGAGTAGTAGTCTGTGACAACGAAATACTGTTTCCCTTGCGATGTACACAAGTCCATGCCCAGCTTTTGCCACGGCCGGAGAGGCAAAAGTGTGAACTTCATCGCTTCCCGGTGCTGTGACGGCTTTTTCACTTGACAAAATTTACACGTATCAATCTTGTGTTGAATGTCCTTGGTTATACCGGGTCACCATACAGTCGAATGGGATTTTGCGTGAATTTTAGACAATCCCAAATGACAATCATGGAGACTTTCAAGGATTTCCTCGCGAATATCCTCCGGAATAACGATTCTATCTCTGTATAGTAACAAGCCATGGTCGGCCATTCATACCGGGTATGGTTCATAGCTTCCTGTAGTGTTCCATCATTAGCAGTAGCTTTGTTGACCTGTTGTAATTGTTTGTCGGCAATGGGACGTGGCATTTCTACAGTCTACCTAACTCTCTCTGGAAATCGCTACGCACTTTATCGATCTGACATCGAGATATGTGTCAGGCACTACCAAGTGTCTACCTGGCACATGTTCAGATTTCAGATTGCAACCTCTGAGGCGCATAAGCATACGTTGGCAACGAATCGGAACTTTTTGTAAGTCCTGAGTGTTCATAAGTGGCACTGGCGGCTTGTGATCTGTAAGTAAGCGAAATGAGCCTAGGCCAATGAGATAACGAGAAAACCCACAGTGAGGCGAGACACTCTTTCTCGATTTGGGCATACTTCATTTCGGTGTTGGTAAGTTTTCGTGAACAGAATGCTATCGGTTTCAACATATCCACTTCCTGTTGAAATAATGCGGCTCCTAAATCGTAGCTACTGGCATCAGCACTGACGACACTATGATATTTCATTTGTTGTTTTACTTGCTCATACTGTCTAGCTTTCTCAATAGCTTGCTCCAGGGTAAGATCAGATATCAGTGGAAGTTTCTCTGACAGTCCCGTATCCAGAATTCTAATGACAACACGATCTCTAATGTGGTCATTCTTGTCAGTAAAATCATTATGTTCCGCTATTTCACACAAACTTCTCACAAAAGTTTCTACCGATTCACCTGGATTCTGTACTGGCTGATGAAATTTCGCTCGTTCATGAATAATGTCACCTGCCTCTTGAAACTGCAGTGATGTAAATACATGCTCGGCTTCCTTCCCCATAGCATAAATAAGGGCGCTAATCTGGACTTCGTCACCGTCCTTATACAGTTTCGACACCATTCTAAAACGTGTGAACCGTTCCTTCCAACCCTGCCACTCGGACGGATTGTTGAAGTGAAAGCTCTCCGGGGTTTAAATCGAGACATACCTGTCATGCCTGAGCGAGCGTTCTTCGTCCTTTTTACCTTCCTCTGGCGATAGGTGCGACTAATCTGACACCATGTTGTCATTGTTTCTGACATACGACTCCAGACAGTTTCCATAACTTCACACGTGTCAATTTCAGGACGGAATCAACTACTCCAAAATCAATGACGTCACATAACATATTTCTACATAAAATAACAGTCATTAAACTTGTCTGAGTGATCATGGTGATAAACATTGCTGTCAAGTTTGAAGTTGATCTGTTAATAACAACTTATATGATATCAAGATGATACTGTTGGTAATTATTAAGGGGCTATAACGCCATGTACTACTGCCCGAAAATTACAATGACCAAATGTTTCCGGACTATCGTGGTATTGAACCTTTCTATAATATTGATCTGTTGAAAACTACTTCCGAAATAGAGCGGGCACTGTTTTGGTAGTTAAATAAGGATCCACAACTCCATGGATTATGGGTAAAAAATTACGATTATCGAATTTGTCTATGATATCATGGTGATGAACCTTCCCATAAAGTTTGAAGTTGAACTGTTAAAAGCGAATAGAAATATTGAGTGGACACCGTCTCGGTAAGGAAATAAAAAGGCCATAACTGCATGAATTACAGTACGAAAATAACGGGGATTTTTCTTGTCCGAGCTATCATTGAATCTTTCTATGAAGTTTAAAGCTGATCGGTTAAAAAACTACTCAAGTTATCGAGCGGACATTGCGTGTGCAGGCCAACTCTCCTGCCTTTTCACATAATATCCTTCGATGGACGTATATAAAGAAAAACGACAACTTGAGAAAAAATCCAAAACAAGCTAAAAAGGACGAGAGTTTTACTTCAGACAAGCTATGCACTAAAAACCGGGAACGGATGTATTCTGGATTCTACAAAGGCATGCACCTGAGAAACTGAGGAAAATGTGCTTAAACAGTTGGGACAAAGTGCTCGAATTTATTCTTGTATGAAAAATCAGTATGAACCGTGTAATTCCTTGCTTTAATATCATTTAATCCGCTTATATCATAAACTGACACTGGCAAATGTATTCCACTTGTTTCAACATCATCTAATTCTCACATATTCTTTTGTGTATATCGATATATATTTTGCTATGTTACATCTTTAGTCCTATGGATACATGATAACACCTACCTCTGGTGTATGTCAATAGATGTTTCCATATTTTCACGTTAATGAAAGCCTCATATATGGTAACCGTCCTCTTATGTATATAGATATTTCTCTTCTTTTAACATCAATTTATTCTCATTCGAAATGTCGGATACTTGTTTTGAACAAAATTCAGGTCATGTGTTTATTCTGGACAGTGCCACTATTCCAATGAATTAAAATATGGCATAAATATTATGACAAACTTCGAGGACTTAATCGTCCGCTTGCAAAGCCTAGCATCTGCAATTTGGAAAAGTGAATAGTACTTTTCTGTACAAATTAAGAGTATGTTAGAGTAGAGTCAAACACGGAACTTTATTATACAGATGTTTCGTTCTTAAGAACTCGTCAGCGACATTAAGGAATTAACTTCAACCATCAACATTAAAAAAACCCACAAATCCTTCAAGTGATTTAGTTTGTATGCTTAATCATCACTGGAATAAATATCTTCTTTTGACTAGTCCTGTTTATGTTACGATAACTTACACATATACAGTACACATTACATGGAACGTGTGCCATCGCGTGTAAATACATTATGTACCTATGTTACAAAACAATTTGAGGGATTTTAGCGCTATTTTGATTATAATGATTACCACAGAATCAAGCAATATGTCGTCGTTGCCAAAATCCCTTGATATCAATAGTTCAAAACTGTAGATCGGGGAGTGCCTACGAGCGCTATTCAATTATAAATGTGAATTTAAATCATGTTTTGAAATACTCACCTTTGTCAATGAGACAATATGTCCCTAGCACAAAGAAATCGGATAATTATACTTACATTGCCGCATATTAAGTCATTTAGAATACACTGACGATTAAATAAAGTTATTCAGGTGATATGAGCTAGGCTGTTTGTAGTTGTGTACAATAGAATAGCATGCTTTCTGTACGTAATTACCCACTAATTCGCGAATTTGACCTTGCGCAACTGTTCCGTTTGAAACACACAGCACCGTACATGTTTATATCGGTGAAGAATTTCACTCAAAAATAAGACTCGTGTTGTTTATCCAGTTGTTTGGACAATGAAATCTCATTAAAAACCAGTCTAGTTTAAGGTAACTGATTTGTCATTCGTGTTTAATATCAAATCAAAGTGTTGAATATAAGGTGTTAATGGATAGGGGAAGTGCGAATCCTAAATCTAGAATATTAATGGAAACCGAAAGAGTTGTGCTTACATCAGAAGATAAATGTCTTACTAACATAAAAATACGTGAAGAATATTGTTTTGTAAGTGTATCACTTATCATGAAAAAGACTCTAAGACGAGATTCTGGCGCAAACCATAGATTAACAGATAACTTTGTAGGCTTAAGTTGACTATACTTATCATAGGATTTCTCTACTTAGTAAAGGTACAGTATCTATTCAGAGTTGGTGTATCGTGCAATAGTTTCAAAGGATAGTAATGTGAATGTATCGCATATATCGCAGTAATTACACTTGACTTTGCAGACTGCACTCCACGATATTTCACATACGTTCCATCGTTAATGTTCATGATATATATCCCACCAGCAAAGATAAAGGAGCTTTCCACTAACTCACTGACAAATGGAAAGTAGAAATGAATAGATTTAACGTAAAAACTAGCGATGTGGCCGTTCTGTTGATTATAAAGAACATTTTGAAAAGCTGCATCATATACCATACGGTAACATCAATAGAAGGCAATGTGTTACGTACTAAACCATGTCAATTTTTTATCGTGTGTGTATTCCTCTTTTCATTCACGTGAAATATATATTTAGTTGCAGAAGGTTGCTATCTCAACTGTTTCAATGACATGGTCCCTAATGGTTTGGGATGCCCCTAGGGCAAATGCTTAAATCATGTGTGTTTTCGTCTCTCTATTCCCAACCAATTGACTTCTGGTTGTTTAGTGGGAATTTCCATTTTTTTCAACTTTTCATGACCAAGGCCCCTAGGGAATATGGATGACCCCAAGGTCAATTTTTAAATCTTTTGTGTGGTCATCACTTCACTTTAAATAGATGCATATATACCGGGTTTTTAAAAGACCCCGGAGTTAATTCATTAGTTTATTTATAAAGTCTAATTATTTTACAACAATTGTGAAACAAGCTGTCAGTTAATACTAATCCTCTTCTTGACTCGGATGGAGGTGTAAAACCCGGGCAAAACACACGTGGTAAGGCAGGTGACGCAATATCTGTCCACACCTGTTCCGGGAATTGAACCCCGGACGGCTTGGTGAAAGGCAAGTGCGCTACCACTGCGCCACTCGATTACCCTCGTGAGTTTTCGAGAAATATATATATGAGGATAAAGGTTGGTAATATTAGTAGTTTCCACGGTTTAACCTACGGGCTAAAATCCCAGTGGCTTGGGAGGACCTCAAGGGCAATGCTTAGGTTTTTTGTGCGTGTTCATGTTTCCAATCCAAATAAATGTTTTCATGCATGTAATTATAGGGTTAGAATCCCCGCTGTTTCTACTCTTCGAAACCCGGGCTAAGCATTACTTCACTGTGGATGATATGGAGTCTTTCCTCGAGTCATTTGTTTATCCGTAATCCTAGCAGGGTGTATATGGAGTTATGTGTTTAAATCTGTTTACGCGGGCCCTGGAGTGAAACCCCAAGGAATTGGGATGACCCACTCTCCACTCTATTCTTATCAAATACCTTTATAGTTATAAATTGAGAATCTGCAATGTTTCCACTATTTACTCAATGGAAACAGACTGTGAGGGTTTTGGATGTCCCCTTGGTTAATTTCGTTTTCCCTGGCCTGGTATTCTTATTCTTAAATCATTTGATGTTGACAAAGGTAATATTAGTTATAGTTTGTGGATCTTTACTGTTTCTATGATTTTCTCTCGGGTAGAGACCCTGGTGACTAGGAATTAAACCAAGACGGATTCTTAACTTATGTTTGTATTCGTCATTGCGTTCCCAACAAATATAAATGTAGTTATAAAGAAGGGATCTCTATTGATTCCATTCTTTGACGTGCTAAGCTCCATGGACCGGGGATCACCCTGGGGCCAACTCTTCAGTAGCAGGTGTAGTCTTTACTTAATTCCAAATATATTCATATGTAGTTTAAGGATGGTATTATCAAAGACTCAAGGGACTTGGGATGACCCCGGTTCAATTCTTAGCTAATGCATGTATTCGTCTCTCCATATTCAACATTTTTACTCCGTTTAAGAACGTTATGAGCGTTTTATCTAACTGAAACTCGATGTTTCTATTTAAAACAAATGAATGTGTGTATTCTTCTCTCCTCTCTAACAAATGTAAATACAGCTAAAGGGTGAGAATCAACTGTTTCTCCGTTTTTCACGATCAATTCTTAATTAATGACTGTTTTAGTTCCCGAGTTTCCAGCAAATGTACATATACAATGTTGTTATATTTCGGGATCTCTACTTTTGTCCACACTATGACCCCTTACTATGTCCACAAGGACAAGGGATGATTCCGAGGTCAATTCTTTGGTCTTGTGTATATTCTTCATTCCATTCATAATGCATGGATATGTAGTTACGGGGTGGGGATCTCAGTTGTTGCATTACGCTTTGGTCTACCTAGAGATGAACCTGCTGTCAATACTTAAGTTATGTCTGTGTTCATCACTCCATCCCTAACAAATGAATATGTAGTTCTATGAAGAGCTGTTTCCACGCTTTGGCTCCAACGACTAACGGTTACCCTGGAGTCAGTTATTAAGTGATGCGGGTAATCGTCATATGTAGCTACAGGGTGGGGATCGCAGCAGTGTCCATGCGTGTATCCCCAGGATAAGATTCTTCGAGCTAGTGATGATCGTCGGATTTACCAGGGAAGCACCAAGAATCAATTTCGGATGTATGTCGTAATTGCTTCTTAATGAATAGCAATACTGTTTACATCCCAAAAGTGATATGATTGGAAGTTCCATGTTATGTTCTACCTCATCGTACAGACAATGGATTAAATTCTATTCTAAACTAAAAAAAAGGTAAAACATGTTCAAATTAGGTTCCACTTTTCACGACCAGCTGTGTCAGTTTCCAACGCTTTACCATTACGCTGGAGGACTCAGTTTCCTACGATCCTCAGTATACAATTAACGAAAATAATACATTTCCATTCCGAGATTCCAATTCTGTTGTTGGAATTACTACTTAAAACATGTTGTCTCTGACGCATCCTGTAGTGTTTTCTTATGTAGAAGACGTATAGAAAATGTTTTATATTGAAAACAACTAATAACTTATAAAAGGTCATATCCACATTTCTTTCTTTTGAAGATTCCCATTAAAAATAATGGCATGTTTGATGGCCGACACACACGAAGCACGGTAAGTGCATTATGATTACAATTATGATTGTTGGGTGTTTTAAACATTGAATAGAAAATATTTAAAATTGTCTGATGTGTTACCAAATATATTCTACGTTTGTGTCTAGTATTTCACTCTTGCAAGACACCCAAATATCAGATACACGATTGAAATATATTTGTTACAACAGAAATCACTGCTAGATATTCTACAAGCAAAATAGTTCAAAGCTGGCACGTTAAGGACACAAATAAAAGGGTGAAGCTGATTATGCTTATTACTCACTCATTTAAACTTAATGGTATGCTACAAAATATAGTAATCAGTAAACATAAACACAAACTTTCTTTTTCAAAGTAAGTTCATTTTTATATTAACACGGAAAAATATATAATCACAAAAATAACACTTTTATAAAGTGATATGATCATACATATTTTAGGAATAATCTTAGTATAATTGTCATGGTTAAATACATACAAAATGTAATCGCAAATATTAAAGAGAAACTGATATGAACTGTTTCATAATATATCCCTTACTACGAAAGCCTATAAGAGTCACTATTCACAGCAATACCTGTTTCACTTTTCCTTTATTGCTTGTTTTACCTTCACTTAATTAATTATTTAACGTTATTGCGTGGGTTTATATTTTTGTTTTCATATCTAACAACAAATACAAACGAATCAGTTTTTGCTTTATTTAGAATTGGTCAGTTGGAAAATTGGAGTAGACGGTAAGCTCATTCAGATATTCACGGCGGAAGGAAGATATTCTAATAACTGTGTGATTGTTTTATAAAAAAGACAGATTTCACTTAAATTCATTAACGGAATTAATGAGATTTAAGATAATCAAATATACACTTTTAAAGTTCAGAAATGAACATTAAAATTTATATGTTATTCTCACTTTAACGTTTCCTTACGATAACACGATCGTTACAATTTATTTTACATTGAAATCGCTATTCTATGTTTTTATATCTTAATTATCATACAGTAGTCAGTCGAGTTTTGTTTCTTCTCTTTCCAGACTGGAGGATCTCAAGGAGGGAAAGAAAAGGTCTGTAAAATTACGATGCATCTGCTCGTTTAACCTTAGTAAATCTTTTAGAGCATGCTGGGTATTTAATTACATTTAATTGGAATAAATGCTTCACAATAGAGTCCGTGATATCATTAAAGGGGTATACATTCCAACTGAAAGGTCTCTCAAACGGATAATGAATTAAACTACGATTAGAAAATTATTGAAAGAGAATATTCATTAATATCAAAAACAATTAAAGAAACTCTAAGACATCTATTTACGCGATTTCAAAATCTGCTGAAGAACTGTCAATCAAAACCGATCGCGGGATTTGGCACGAGGGACATGCGCAGTCACAACAGTTGTTGCGCCACCTGCGGCAGAAAATGGCTGAACGCGACAGTGAGAGTGAGGTTAGTAAACACTGAAACATGTGCTTTCATTATCTCAATGTGTATACAAAAGAGGGTTTAAGTGCAAGTGGTTGGTATTGCGCCTCTTGTATTGTATATACATTGTTGATATCCTACTAAGATTCCGCTGACGATCCGTCTCCAGTTTTCGTCGTTTCTTCGTTGATGTGGTTATAGATGACCTTCCCTTCTTTCGTTTTGTTGCGGATGTGGTATCTGTCAATGAGAATACCAGTTAGGTAAAGGGACATAACTCTCTATATGAATTGTTGAACTCTTCAGTTTTTGGAAGTCAATAAAGTTGTTGAGTGTAATGGAACACATGTGTTAACTGGTGATTTTACGACAAGACTAAATCAGGTTCAATCCGGGGATGAGCCAGTCATCCACACATGTAAAGCACGATAGATGCTACAATTGGCGACGAGGATAAAAACTGTATTCATTGGAAATTGGAGGTGTTCCAAATTTTGATTGCCACGGGGATTCGTCCGCCATTTCTCAAAGATGGAGAAAGTGGAAAAGGGCATTCGAACTGTTTGTTTTGGGCAAGGGTATTACAGGTCCTACACAGAAAAGGGCGTTGTTACTCCATTGTGCCGGGATGAGAGTGCAGGAAATATTTGACACACTCGCGGACACTGGAGAAGACAAATATTACGACAAGGCTGTACAGAAGCTGGGAGATTATTTTGCACCACAGGGAAACATTTCATTCGAGAGACACCAGTTTCGGCAACTCAAACAGGAGTCTGGTGAGTCAGTTGAACAATTTATAACGAGGTTACGCGATAAAGCCATGATTTGTGAATTCGGAGATGATAAAGACGACCAGATCCGTGATCAGGTTATCGACAAGTGTAAGTCGACACAGTTACGGAAGAAATTGCTGGAAAAGGGAGGAACATTGACACTCACGAAAATGCTGGAAATGGGCAGAGCGCATGAAGCAGCAGAGAGACAAGCAGCAGTAATGCATGAAGAAACTGTACACGATGTTTATGACAAAAGGAAAGGACACAAATCGGATAACCAGGGGGCTGACAGTTTCAATACAAGTAATCAAGGTAATAAATCCCAAGCATGCTTCCGATGTGGGAGACAGGGACACTATTCAAAAGATAACGAATGTCCAGCCAGGAATAAGAAATGCAATAAATGTCATAAAATGGGACATTTCCAGAAGTGTTGTAAGACAAACGGAGGTAATCCAGGGAATGGCCGAGCAAAGGAACGTACTGTGAAACATGTACAAGAGCAGGACTAGGTTGAGTCAACTAACTACGTATTTAGTGTACTTAAAGAACCAGTAGGAGAACAGGATAGTGTGACAGTTGGAGGTGTGCCAATATCATTTACCGTTGATTCAGGTGCATGTGTTAATATAAAAGACCGAAAACTCTGGAAAAGTCTGAAAAAGTCAAAGATAAACTGTGTTAGTAACAATACTGACAAGAAATTGTTTACTTATGGAGGTACAAAGTCACTGCTTTTAGCAGGATGTTTTGAGGCTGATGTCATACTTGGAAATAAGATGGTACCTAGGGTGATGTTTTATGTTTTGAAGGGAACAGGCAAAATGACGACGATAGAATTAGGAGTTCTACATGTGGGTACTGGGCACATTAATTTCGTTGAACATGATATCAGTAAGGCTGAACTTATGAAGAAATACCCTGAATGTTTCACAGGAATCGGGAAATTGAAAGAGTATCAAATGACTATAGCATTGGACGACACCAATTATTCAACAAATGCGGCGTATACCCTACCATTTACGCGACCGACTCGAGAGTAAAATACACGAATTGGAGTCATTAGACATTATTGAGAAAGTAGAGGAACCCAGTGCATGGGTAGGTCCAGTTGTTATAATTCCCAAGTCAAATGGGGATATTAGACTTTGTGTTGACATGCGAAGGGCCAATGAAGTTGTAATTCGTTAACGGTATCCGATACCAACTGTAGATGAAATACTACAGGACCTAAATCAGAGTAAGGTTTTTTCAAAACTTGATATTCGCTTGGCGTATCACCAAGTTGAGCTAGCACCAGAGTCACGTGGTATTACAACATTCCAAATTCACCTAGGCATGTATCGGTATAAACGGTTAATGTTCGGGCTCAGCTGTGCCCCTGAGCTATACAACAAAATCATACAACAGGTTCTGAGAGATTGTCCAGGTGTCAACAGTATATTTGACGACATTGTTGTTCACGGAGCAACACAGGGTGAACACAACAAAAACTGTTCCAAACCTTACATGAAAAGGGCTTGACATTGAACTTGGACAAATGCCAGTTTAATATGTCGCATATTACATTCATGGGACATGTACTTTCAGAGCATGGAATCAGTCTATACAAGGACAAAGTCAAAGCGGTCGTGAACGAAGTTTCCTAGGCCTAGCCAATTTCAGCTCAATGTTTTTACCCAACCTGGCAACCGTATCTGAAACCCTTACGACAGTTAACCCGAAAGGATGCACCATTTATTTGGGGTCCAGCTCAGGAACAGTCATTTAAGAAACTTAAGGAGATGTTGTCAAATTCATGTGTTTTGAGATTTTTCGACCCAAAAGCCAAGACGCAGGTTATTGCTGATGCGTCACCTGTGGGATTAGGAGGAGTTTTAGTACAGGAACAGGATATTCACACGCGTGTATTCTGTTACGCGAGCCATAGTCTGAAAGACATTGAATGGAGATATTCACAAACCGAGAAGGAGGCATTAGGACTGGTCTGGGCATGCGAAAGGTTCCATATGTACCTATATGGACAGGAATTTGAACTTGTTACAGATCACAAACCTCTACAGTTCATCTTCTCTAAGAAATCCAAACCCTGTGCTCGTGTAGAACGCTGGACTTTGCGGCTACAGTCCTATACCTATTCTGTCAAATACATACCGGGATCTCAAAACATCGCTGATTGTTTGTCTAGATTGATCTCAAAGTCTGCTGATTGCAGAGTACTCAACTCCAGTTGCTATGACAACACGCGAAATCGAACGCGCCTAAGATAATGACCCGGAACTAGAAGCTGTTAAAAACTGTATTGTAAACGGGAAGTGGTCAGGGATTCCCTACAAAGAGTATCTACCTGTAAGGTCTGAACTGTGTGCTATTGGAAAACTTGTGTTACGTGGGACGCGGATTGTGATTCCGAAGTCACTGCGTGAAAGTGTACTGAAGGTAGGTCATGAAGGACACCCTGGCAAAGTTGCAATGAAACAACGAATACGATCAAAGGTATGATGGCCTAAAATGGATATACACATTGAAAAACATTGTCAATCATGTTATGGATGTCAATTGATGGCTAAACCATCAAACCCTGAACCTCTGGTTAGGACCGAGCTAGTCTGAAAACTACATTTGCTACACATGGGATGCCAACCTCGATCCGTACCGACAATGGTCCACAATTTATCAGTGAGGAATTCAAGCAATTTTAACAAGAATATGGTATAATCCATAAACGTAAAACACCCCTATGGCCAATTGAAGGACAAAATCGATCGCTGTTGAAGAGACTCAAAATTGCACAACAGAAACAGAAGGATTGGAAAACCGAGTTACAAACCTATTTGATCATGTACAGGTCCACACCCCATTCAACCACAGGAGCGAGTCCAGCTCAGCTGTTGTTTGGACGAGAAATGCGGACCAAGTTACCAAATCTTCATTATTACACAAGTACCAGAGATGTTGAAATCAGAGATCGCGACCGTGAACGGAAAGAAAAAGGAAAAATGTATGTGGATGAAAGGAGAAATGCTACAGAATCTGATTTGAACCCAGGTGACCTTGTGTTGATGAAACAAAAACATGTAGACAAAATGTCGACAAACTTCAACCCGAAACCATTACAAGTACTTAGGAAACATGGTAATAGTGTTTTGGTAGAATCAGATGGAGACCAGAAATACAGAAATGTAACACATCTGAAAAAGTTCATCATGCCAGAATCTAGTGTGTCTAGAAACAGTGATAGAACCAATGAAAATGTGTCATACAAAACTGTATCAAATTCTGAAGTTCCTAAGTTGGAAATGTCCCATGAAATTGAGGATACTAATTGTGGTCTAGATGTGGAGGATAAGATTGATCAGAAGTCAACAGAGGAAATTGTACAGAAACCCATATGCGAATCGGGGCAACAAACTTTTCCTATGCGGCAACATAGGCGAAAGCGACCAGTGAAATTTCACGATTTTGTCTTGACATAGACTTGGATCACAAAATTATATTTGAACAAAGTGCTTTATATACATGTTTATTTAGTAAAGTTTTGACCAGAAAAGTTTTGTTTAATTACCAGTAAACACTGGGCGTGAATTTTAGTTTAGCGTTGAACATTGAACACTTGAACAGTTGAATAGTGTGCATTGAACACAATTTAATACAGTTCATGCCAGGAGTAGTTTGAAGTACTTTTAGTTAATTGGTTATGTATTAATTACTACAGAATATTTCATGTTATAATGAATCAGTTCAAAAAAAGGGTAAATTTTCTATAAGTATTTCATTTAGTAACTGTCAATGAGAATACCAGTTAGGTAAAGGGACATAACTCTCTATATGAATTGTTGAACTCTTCAGTTTTTGGAAGTCAATAAAGTTGTTGAGTGTAATGGAACACATGTGTTAACTGGTGATTTTACAACAAGACTAAATCAGGTTCAATCCGGGGATGAGCCAGTCATCCACACATTTAGTATAAATTAGGTAGTGTTGATTGTCACCATAGTCTAGAATAAGTAATTCTCATTTACACCGGCGCTGACAAAGCCAGTTGTTATAATTATAGTACAACACATCACAAGTATATCCTTAGGACGAACCCAGGGTTATATGTTGGTAATTGCGGAAAGTTCATGAATCCCGGGATACAGGAAAAATAAAGTGTTGAGCAAAGTTGTTTTATAACGTAAATTAGAACCAAAAGTTCGTATGTGTGCCCCTTTAAAATACTATCTAAAGCACGATAGATGCTACAACGGGATCATCCGTGTTTTCTTTTTTTAGCATGTGCGCGATATGCGCATGCCCGATATCTGGTTGCAACTTCGCCGCCCACAACTTTACAGAATAGATCGCGTCCCGGCGCTTAATCTTAAATCAAACTAAACAAATTGATAGTGTAACTTGTAAATTTTGACACTGTGATTGGTAATTGACCCAGGAAAATACAGAACAATACCTAAAACACAGCGATAAGGCACTTGTACAGTGCGCAGAGAAGTTGCTCCTAACCGAGCACTTGTTCGTAGCGTGTACCGGCACTTATGCAGTGCCAAACACTTGCACACGTTCAGTGTTTTATTAAACATTATTAGATAGAAACTGATAACTAAATAAATTAACGTTCACGTACATTTTTATTTACATTATATAACAAACATGCCAGTATAATGCTTAGTCCTTAAAATCATTTATAATATTTAATATCATTAAAACTTGTTCATTCAAAATACAAAATATTTGCTTGTTCTCTCATAGAACATCATATCTGAAATTTTAAAAACAATCTCGATTCAGATAAAAAGTTTTAAACCTTTGTTAATTGTACACAAAGTGTGTGAAAATGTTATTGTGTATTTACAAGCCAACGATAGAATATAACTCAAATTACCCAGCTCCAGAAATACAAACAATATCTTTTATATTATTTATTTTTAAGTATTGGATTAAGTTGTGATGCCTGCTCTATGTCTTCAAAGTGTTGTGGGGTCACAAAAGAAAGAGGTGTGAGAGTATTATTTTTATTTGTCACATGTAGTGAACAAGAATTACTCATTTGTGAAATATGATTTTTGTAAATGTTTTAGACTTGTTATATTGACAGCTATTTTAGATTTTGGAACTTTCGTAAGAACTATATACATAGCCTTCCTTGATGCTGAATGGGTTGAAAATGAAAAAAAATCGTTAAATATTATAAACTAAAACAGGCAGCAAGTGTGTAATGAGAAACATACTATTTTCTGTATACCATGAGTGATTTTTGTTCGGTTTACTTTGTTTCTATTAATATTTGCATGGTAAATTGGAAACTAATTTACCTTTTAAAGACATTAGTATATATCAGTTGATAAAGATGATGTATATTTATCAAATCGGAATTCGTAATAGATCTATCGTTGTGATTTCGATATAATGACATTTCATTATCTACTCCATAATATGTCATGTTATATTGTTTTATAGACTGCAGAAAAGGTGAGCAAATTATGTTCATAAGTTTCTTATTTAATATCTTACC